CTCTGACGTTCGGCCTTTTGATGTTAACACGTTCACCTTTTCCCCGGATGGGGTGACCTTTTCGGTGTCGAGACGTACCATGTCAGACTCCACTGCCATTTTCTACCCATTTTTTCAAGAGGCTCCTAAGCTCTGTGTGGTTTCTACCCTGTCTCACTATGTGACAGTTAATACCCCGCTTCGAAGTTCCCAATCGGGACAACTGTTGATATCTTACGTACGACCACATAAACCGGTTTCAACCACTTCTTTGGCGCACTGGATCAGATGGCTAGTGTCGTTGGCCGGCATGGAGTCTTCATTTGGTGCTCATTCGGTTCGGTTCGTCAGGAGCCCTAGTAGCGGGTGCTTCCCTGTCCAACATTCTACGTTCAGCAGACTGGTCTCGGGAGGACACCTTCCGACAGTTTTACTTCAGACCGACGGAACATGCATCGTTTGCCCTTCTGGCTGAGCGTTGAAACAGCAAATATGAAGCCTCCTGTCATGTTATAAAATTGTAGATTATGCTAGCTTTAGTTTACCTATAATCTTAATTTTATTAATGACAGGAGGCGAATATTTCCCACCTTTTTTGTTCCCGACCCTTGTATTTTTATCTTGTATGTTGAGTATTATTAAAGAGTTATATCTCTGGTCAGTATTCCTTGTGAATATTTACCATATGTATTTTTTCATTATTGCCTAGGGTGGGGATCGGTAGACTTGATGATGTTCTCTATAAAATTGCGCTGGGTGGCTACATGTTTTATACGTACATTTCATTGGCTAATCACAATTTTTGATTTTGTTTATCTCGTTTCAGTGTAAAGTGCCCAGGATGGGATCACGTTCAGGTCTTCATTTCAGTTGAAGAATCCTAAGAGAGTCGTTATTTCTGTTGGGGATGGACTGTTATTGTTATGTTATGTTTTTTTTCTGTCTGTGTTGTTATCGCAGCTTGAAAGAGGAAATGGAATGTTGAGAAGGGAGTTATATGGTCTCCTTACTGATTGGTTGTTACTCTCTGCGTTTTTTTCTTGCTGTGGAGTTCTAGTAAAGAGAGCTTTAAGCAAATATTCGTCTCCTGTCATTAATAAAATTAAGCTAGCATAATCTACAATTTAATGCCCTGTATTTTGCATTTTTTTGCCACGGTATTTTGTCATGGTAGTAGGTGCCCAAAAAACATCATCAAACTTTTATATGCCAGATAATACAAAATTATTATTTTTTTTAAATTGCACGAGTGGCTACCCAAGTGACTTTTTAAAGGGTTATTCGCTAAAATGTGATTTTGTTTTACTTCACTTATGAAATGTAAATTTTAGACTGTAATAGACACACTGGAAACATAAATTGTTGTTTTAGCTGGGCAAATTTTGCCTTACCTTACCTAGATCAGTGGTTCCCAACCCAGTCCTCAAGTAACCCCCTAACAGTCCAGGACTTAGGGATTACCCATTTGTGTCTAAGGTGTTTATAGAAAGAAAAAAAAAACACTTTAGATACAACAGGGTAATCCTTAAATCCTGCACTGTTAGGGGGTACTCGAGGACTGGGTTGGGAACCACTGACCCAGGTGAATGCTCAGCAATTCGGGTTCGAAATTGAGTGAAATGGTTAACACATTTGCCTCAGAAGCTCCATCTATCGATGAAATTATGTAATTACAGATACTTTTCCCTGCTATTAGATATTCAATGGTTTATTTACATAAGTTAGAATTCAAAGTGAATATCAATCTTACAATTGCAGAAACAAATGTAAGGATGGCTGAACTTGATATATGCAAGTCTCTTTCAGCTATGTAACTATGTAACAATATTTCACACTTGCCATTTCGTGTGGGTTTGTTACTAGACACACAAGCAGTGGAACTAAGAAACAGAGGACCACAGTGCAGATTCCCCACCATCACCAATGCAGCAAGGGTGGCCAAAACATAGATTATTATTATTATTAGTAATAGTATTTATAGAGTCCCAACTAATTTCGCATTGCTTACAATATTATGAAAGGGGGGGAAAGGTAAGGATTTACAATAAATGAGACAATTACACAGTGACACAGGAAAAATAGATAGATGAGGGCCCTACTTGAATGAGCTTACAGTCTAGACATCCTCAACTACTCCACATGCATGCACAACATTATTTCCTGTCCCTACCCATTTCTCCCCCAAATTGTTTCTCCCTATTGAATTCACCATCTGTCTCTCTCTATATTACTCACCTCTCTCCCCCAAAAAAACCCCATAAAGAAAGGTTATCTTGGCAGGCTTGGCATATACCATTCTTTGTCTATTCTCCTAATAGTAAAGTAGACTTCTAATTGGGAAGAGGGTAACTCCTTACATTGGGAGTAGGACAACTCCTTACACCCTTGCTTGCCTTGAACACCTTAAAGGATCACTATAGTGTCAGGAAAACAAAGCGGTTTTCCTGACACTATAGTGCCCTGAGGGTGCCCCCACCCTTAGGGTCCCCCTCCCGTGGTGCTGAAGGGGTTAAAATCCCTTCAGCAGCTTACCTTTACCCAGCGCGGGGCTCCCTCGGCGCTGGTGACCTTTCCTCCCCCGCCGTCAGCTCCCGAGTGGAGCCGAATGCGCATGCGCAGCAAGTGCCACGGGCGCATTCAAACAGTCCATAGGAAAGCATTTCTCCATGGTTTCCTATGGACGCTCTGCGCGATGATCCAGCGTCGCAGATGTGCCTTTAGCGGCTGTCAGGAAGACAGCCACTAGAGGTTGGCTTAACCTGAGGGACATTGCACCCAGACCACTTCATTGAGCTGAAGTGGTCTTGGTGACTATAGTGTCCTTTTAATACAATTTTACCTTTTCACTCTTCTTTTACCAGACTGCCAGCTTATCCTATAAATTATTTTTATCATTAAAGGATCACTATAGTGTCAGGAAAACAGAGTGGTTTTCCTGACACTATAGTGCCCTGAGGGTGCCCCCCCCGCCCTCGGGGTCCCCCTCCCGTGGCACTGAATGGGTTAAAACCCCTTCAGCCACTTACCTTAATCCAACACCGGGCTCTCTCTGTGCTGGTGACCTCTCCTCTCCATCCGACGTCATCTCCCCCATCCGACGTCACTGGAGCTGAATGCGCGCCCATTCAAACAGTCCATAGGAAAAGCATTTCTCAATGCTTTCCTATCGACGCTCTGCGCAATGGAGGCGAAATTCGCCTCCAGTGTCGCAGTCTAGTGGCTGTCCGGAAGACAGTCACTAGAGGCTGGATTAACCCCAAATGTAAACATAGTTTCTCTGAAACTGTTATGTTTACATCTGTAGGGTTAAAACCTGAGGGTCCTGGCACCCGACCACTTCATTGAGCTGAAGTGGTCTGGGTGACTATAGTGTTCCTTTAAGGCTCAGGGTACATGATATTCACCATAAGTCCACTAGAGATTGTGCACTTGTCATGCCAAGTGTGATGTACTGGGCAAACTTGATTAGACTGAGGGCTTGTAAAGGCTGCAGACAAGAGATTTGCAACTTTTGCAATTTGTTTTTCAATATATACCCCCAATGAAAAATGCAGCAATAAGTGCAATGCTTTCATTGGGTGTATATCTACTAAATAGTGATTTTTATTTTTATTTTTTATGGATGAATGGAAAAAAATTAGCAAAAGTAGCTGGTGTGGAAAGATTCTACAATCTAGCCATAATCACATATTGGCTATTTTTGCATCAGTTTTGCCATTCTGATTTTTTTAATATGTGAAAATTCTGAATTTAAAGAAGAGCATTGTGAAAACCTCCAATAACTTTTTTCATAGGATATTCCATTTTGTTTTAAATATATATAGCAATAATTCAGCAAATTACATCACAATTCAGCACAATCCAAACATTGCAAATCAGCAGAAGAATTAGACATTGCGTTATCTCTCCTTTTCCCTATGCTGACTACTGGGTGCAAAGGACCATGGTAATAACAATAATTGACAGGTCGCTAGGAAGCTAACATGGCGGCTCTCTTTTATTTTATTTAATTTAATTTTTTTTCACACCATAAAAATTCTTATTAACTGGACTCAAGTAAACATAATATTAAACTGAGAATTAACGGCTGACTTTGCTTTATTTTGTGAATTGCACGGTCTGTACCTTTTGCTGTTTCGCTAACTAAACATATAATTAAATTAAAAAAATAAAAAAATCCTGAGAATTGACAAATCCCTTTTAACCAAAGTAATAGGTGATGTATTAAATAGTAAAACTTTAAGACTTTGACCTGAGATTCTGTGTATTCCAGAACAGAGGTCACTAAACTCCAGGCATTTGTCATTCACACTACAAGCAGATTTATTTTTGTAGACAGGGAGGACATTTTGGGATCTATAAAACCTTCCACCTCAGTAGTCTGTAATATATTTCTTAACACTTGAAAGATTGATCTGGTAGATCTCTTGCTGTTTGTAGGTTCATCCATCTATCTGTTTGTCCGTCAATTTATCTCTCCTGCATGATCCCTTTGTATGCCTTTATACCATCTTTGAAGTCTGACCTTTTTATTACCCTAGTGCCTAGTCCTTTGTTCCTAATTTATCCTTTGCCTTCTAGCCATAAGTCCTAATTTAGTGTTCCTGTTTAGGAGGGACAGTCCCTATTCTGGGACCAAATCTTTCTGTCACTCTTTTCTATTTTATCCCTAAATTATTATTTTTTTGCATAAGATTTCCAAATAATTTAATATTTTGGGATAAACTTTAAAAATGATTTAATATTTTGAAAAATATATTTTTTTTAAATGTTTTTTTTATATTATATACTTTTTGAAAATTTTTATATTTTGAGAAAAAATATCACTTTAAAGGTTTATCTAAAATATTAAATAACTTGAAAAATGTATACAAAAATATCGAATCAAAGCCTTAAAGTACCTATTTTTTAGAAGCGGTATATTGTTGGCGTGTCTAACAGATCGTCACAGCAATAATACTTGCGTAGTTACATAACACTCCAGGTTGAAAAAACTACTACAGTACATCAAGTTGAACCTTAAACAGTGGCGTACATACTCCGTCACTCCAGGGGGCCAGCCGCCCTGCAGACCCCTGCGACCAGGTGCCCGCCGCCATGTGTTGCTGCCCTGGCCGTGCAGTATAATTGCCGGGGGCCGCACGTGAAGGGGTCTAACAGCATGGGCCACCCGATGGAAATGAATATCATCATCTGAGTGGGCCCGGTAACAGCGCGACCGGGCCTCCTCTAATGATGTCAGATGCTGGGAAGAAGTGACTGCCCCGGTCACTCCTCCTAGCAACCACCAGGAGCCATGCGGGAGGAAGGAGAAGGAGTCGGAATGGGAACTCTGACTCCCATTAACCTGAGCCACTGGACACCAGGGAAGTCACCTTACCTGTAATTATTTGTAAAGTGCAATCATATCCCTGTGAGGCACCTATTTTTCTAAAGTAAACAGTTGAGTGATGCAATGGAGTGATGAGATCACTAAGTGGGCATCATTAAAAGAGGTGGGGCTACAGCATCTGGAGTCATAAACACTGGCAAAGGTGTCTTATGGTGTGAAACAGATGTGGTGCCAACTTGAGGAGTTAGGGGCACCAGGTAAGTGGCATAGCGCAAGGGTATGTATCCTTAAACTAAGTACTCATAGATGAATACCATCTGGCCCTTTGACTTTAGGATAAATAGGTCGTATGCATGACTTTATACCATCTTTGAACTCTGACCTTTTTATTACCCTACTTTGTTAACATTAACTTTATTTAATCTCTACTACACTTTATCATGTGATACACAACCACCTGTTTGCTGTAAGACTTTTGTAAAAGGGATTTGCAAATCTACAGCCATTCGTCTTCTCTATACACTGGATAATTTGTTTTAATTTTTTTTTTTTTATAATTTCTGCTATGTCCTACCCTCATCGATTAACACACCCACCTCACACCCAAGGGAGAGTTATTATTATGTTATTATTTATATAGCGCCAACACATTCTGCAGCGCTTTACAATGGGTGGACGAACAGACATGTAGTTGTAACCAGACAAGTTGGACATACAGAAACAGAGGGGTTGAGGGCTCTGCTCAATGGGCTTACATGCTAGAGGGAGTGGGGCAAAGTGACACAAAAGGTAAGGATAGTATTAGACTAATGACAGTTGCAAGAGAGGAAGGAGTCCGGAGCTATTAACAGTTTAATAGATATGCTTTTATAAAGAAGTGGGTTTTTAATGATTTTTTGAAGGAGTGGAGACTAGGTGAGCATCTAACAGAGGAGGGAAGTGAGTTCCACAGGAACGGTGCAGTCCTCAAGAAGTCTTGAAGGCGAGCATCAGAGGTGAGAGTATGGACAGAAGACAGACGTAAGTCTTCAGCAGAGAGTAAGGGCCTAGACGGGACATACTTGTGTATTAAGGAGGATACATAGGTGGGAGCAGCATTATGTAGAGATTTGAAAGCAAGAACCCTGTATTTTACAGGAAGTCAATGTAAGGACTGACAGAACCGTGAGGTGTGGGCGGTGCAGACGGACAGGAAGATGAGCCTCGCCACCGCATTCATTATGGACTGCAACGGCGCAAGTTGGGAGCATGTAAGACCACTAAGAAGTGGATTACAGTAGTCATGAAGAAAAAGGACAGTGGAATGGACCAGCACTTTAGTCGCATCTGGTGTTAAGTAGGGTTGGATGCGCCCAATGTTTTTCAGATGGAAGCGGCAGGATTTGGCGATAGACTGAACATGAGGAGTGAAGGAGAGGTCGGAGTCAAAGAGAGCACCTAGGCAGCGAGCCTGCATGGTGGAGCTGATGGTAGCACCATTGACTTGGAGGGAGACAGACACAGGAGTAACAATACTTGAGGGAGGAAAGACCAGAATTTCAGTTTTGATCAAGTTGAATTTAAGGAAGTGGGCAGCCATCCAGGTAGCAATAGCAGAGAGGCAGTCAGAGACACTAGTCAAGAGGGACGGGGAGAGATCAGGAGAGGACAGATAGATTTGTGTGTCATCCGCATAGAAATGATATTGGAAGCCAAAGGAGATAATGAGTTTATCAAGGGAGGCAGTATAGATGAAAAACAGTAGGGGACCAAGGACTGAACCTTGGGGGACACCAACAGAGAGGAGTTGGGGAGAAGAAGCAGAGCCAGAGAAAGAAACACTGAAAGAGAGCTGGGAGAGGTAGGAGGAGCACCAGGAGAGAGCAATATCTTGTAGACCGATATTGTGGAGGATGAGAAGAAGCTGTTGATGATCAACAGTGTCAAAAGCCACAGAAAGGTCAAGGAGAATTAGGATAGAGTGGTGACAACGAGATTTTGCAGCGAGTAGATTATTGGATACTTTGGTTGGTGCCGTTTCTACAGAGTGCTTAGCGCGGAAACCAGACTGAAGCAGGTCTAGCAGAGAATTGGACTCGAGGAAGTCTGTCAATCTCGCATACACAACACTTTTAAGGATCTTGGATGCAAAAGGTAGAGCAAGATAGGACGGTACATCCTTACATAGCTGTACAGGAAGAAGAGCCAAGAGAGAGAGAGACCTTGTGTCCCTTTGTTCAGTTACTATATAGATGTGCTCATACTGATGTCAGACTATAACTCTAGCCATATAAGGACAAAACCCCCAATCCACATTCCAGAATTCTCATACAAGAAAACCTTGTGACTTATCCATACCTAATCAATAGAAACATAGAATCCCTAACTGCAGATGTAAACAAGAGCTAGAAAGAAGTAATATCAGATCTTAGAGTGGCTGGGCTTACCTTGATATAGAGAGTCCACTACGTGTAAGCTAACTAAACAAAAACCACAAAAACATACCAAGTTCAGGATTCCACAGGATGGGTTTCAGGTTTGTCAGACTAGCAGATATCAGGGCAATCAGACAATTAAAAAGGTAAAACACATGCTGGGCCAGGAAACCTGTAAATCAGGGGCAAATTAGCTAAACGCATTGTATAACCAGACAAAGACCAAGAACTTGCAATTCACCAGAGAAGCACCAGGTCTCAAATGACACCAAAAAGGCAAGCCTTGTCAAAAGTAGATGCCATTAACTATTTTTTGACAAAAAAAGGGAGCAAGCTATTCAATGAACAGCATCAAATAAAAGATGTGAGCACCAGGCATCCAGTGTCAGGCATTCTGATGGCATGAGGATGACGCTAAATAAGTTTGTTTCTTACTGGCAAACTGTCAAAGCCAACATAACCAGCAGAAATAGCAGATCTGTATAAGTTAACTGTGGACTAGGCTTGGCTTTGATCAAATGGTCAAATGGTCAGAGCGATCACATGGCCCCCGGGGGCCTAAATTGCCATGGGGGACTGTCTGGGCTGTTAGGCAGTCCCCCAGAAGAGGATAGAGGTGAGAACCGCCTGGCTCCTGGGGCTCAAAGCCATTAGGGCGTTCTATCCCGCTGTAACGGCTTTAAAGCACATTATAATGGGGACGGCATAGAAAGCCCTAACGGTGTTAAGGGGTTACAAACTGTATTTTGGAAAGCTAGTGTTTCACTAGGAGCAATGACAAAATGCCAATCTCCTAAGCTGTTTCAAGTGCTTCTGATAGTAGCTGCTAGCTAGATAAAGTAGCAAGCTAAACCTACAGAGTTATTTACTAAAGTGAGAATTCAAAGTGAATTTCAAATCTAAAGCCAGAGTAGCTGAACTGATCACAGGTGACTCAGAGGATTCTTCCAGTTCAGCTATTGTGATCTTAAATTTAAATTTACTTTGAATTTTATAACATGACAGGAGGCTTTATGTTTGCTTAAGTCTCTCTTTACTAGAACTCCACAGCAGCACATTAACATAGAGATAAAAACACCAGAGACAAAAAGTAAGGAATCCATAAAAGGCTCCTCCCAACCAACTATTTCCTTTTTCTTTGCTGCTCCGCATCAGTACAGGTCAGAGAACCACTGCCTCCTGTTACTTTGGGTGGCTGTGGATATTTTGCTGTATTTATCTGTTTACTTCTGTATTGATTTATTTATTTCTAGTGTATTTACTGTATTTATCTGTTTATTACTGCATTGATCTATTTATTTTTATCCTATTTCTGTTTTCTATGGACTTGTCTGTGTTTTCTGTAGTGATTTATTGATTCATTTTGTATTTTGGGGATGTGTGTTTTTTCCTTCTTCTGCCGCCCCCTGCTTGGGGCTTTCTGTCTGGGCATTGTCTCGCGGGCTTCTTACCTTCCTCTTTTGCTCCCTTCCTTTTTGGGATTTTTTTCCACCTCTCCCTCCCCTCGTTCGTGGCCGCCGGAAAACGGTCATCCGACCGCTTCCTGTGCCGAGCGCCGGGACTGCGGATTAAGACTCCGGCGGTCCCACGTGTTGGATCCCACCTGCCTGCTGCGGCTGCAAAACGGGGTCCTCTTCTCCTCACCCCCTCGACCCATGCTTTCGTTCGCAGTATAGGCTGTCCAGCGGCTCGAGTGGTGTGGGTGGGGGTAGGGTGACTTAACACTCACGTGTATGCGGCTGGGGGGGCCGGCTCGGTGCCGGGTTTGACACAATGGTGGTTTGGGTCTAAAAGAACATGTGCAGCCTTTAGTTCCATCTTTGTGTATCACTTTGCCGTGTGGAGGCTACTGTCTCCTTTCAAGTCATTGCAAACGATTTAGCTTACATCTACCTATATTTGGGGAATGCATATTATTGTGTCCTATCAGTCATATATGTGCTGACATTGCAGCAATATGGTTGAGGTGCCTTTGTGTTTCTTGCATGGAGGGTGTGCATTAATCTTGTATCACCCTGTCCTTCCTTCGCTTGTGTCCCCCTGGGGGCTGGCATATTACTGTTGCTGGGGAACCCTCACTTCTACTCTAGCCCACACGTTTGTATGGATACCCCTGGGGGGACTGTTGTTCAGTGGGTGAAGGCCCCAGTGTCCTTCATAATGGTATTTGGCATGTGTCATAATGGTTTTTGGCAAGTTGGAGCTCCGCCACGGACGCAATGGAAGGTGGAAACCGTGTTAAACCGGTGCTTAGGGTATAAGATAGAGTACGCCTACTTTTGTCTCCATATACTACTGAAGTTGGAGATATATGATGTTTGCCTTCAGGACTCTGGCTTTCTCCATATTGCTTAAGGAAGCACTGATCCGTACCTGGTCACCTTGGAGTTTTGGTATATGTTTCCTTCCTACTTTTTGTACCTGTTATTTATCATCTTCTTCCTTGGGATCTAGGGTACGGTTTTCTGGTTCTGCCATCATATAGGTCAGTACGCTGTCTGTTGTATGTGTGGCCATATATTATATGATTTTTACCCAGAGGCCTATGGCTTTTGATTAGGCTATAGATCCGCTTGCGCTTTGGTGCTTGAGTTTATTATCTTTGGCTTTTTCACTAAACAGGAGTTAGCATTTCACCTAAGCACCTCTGTGCCTTGCTATTTACCTTGTTTTTTCCTGGAAGGTTACACTTGGTGTTGTGGTAGGTGATGCAGGGACCCGGTGATCTAAATTTAGATGATGTATTTCCTATGTGCCTGTTTGATGCGTGGGTTTGTTTCTGCCCCGGGTACTATTATCGCTACGTGTGTCCCTGTTCTTAGCTCTGCAGTGCTGCTACCCCTAAGTGGGAGCACACGTTATTTACACGTACTGGACGGTCTTAGTCCCAGTCACCCCCTGGTTACCATGGGTACCTGTAGGCGGAGGACCACTCTATAGGGTGCATGGCACAATTACATGGGCGCTGCAAGTGGGTCCTGCTATTACTATGGATTATATGTCACTCCTCAAGCACTGCTGCCTACACACAGATAATCCTGCTTTGACTGTGCCGCAATGATTGGTCTGCTTGGACTGTACAATACTGATTGGCCTGCTCTGCCTGTGCCACACTGATTGGCCCACCTGGACGGTGCCACGCTGATTGGCCTGCTTTGTCTGTACCGCACTGATTGGCCTACTTGGACTGTACCACACTGATTGCCCTGCTCTGTCTGTGCCACACTGATTGCCCTGCCTTGGGTGTGCCACACCGATTGGCCTGCTTTGTCTGTGCCCCTTGATTGGCCTGCTTTGTCTGTGCCACACTGATTGGCCTTCTTTATCTGTGCCATTATCTCAGAATGCCTAGCCTACCCACTACATACTTACACTTAGGACTGACATGCACTGCCTGACTTGCCTCTGCCACCTTGGGGTGCTGCCCTGTTTACTCTGTTGGTGGCACTCCCCTTTCTCTATACGCCTGGATGTCCTGCTGTGTGCGGTTACCCCTACGGAACCCTCTACCCAGGAATACTAGTTGGCCGCCTCCAGAGGAAAAAGGCTTTGGGGCCAGGTGTCCCCTCATGCCCTTATAGGGTGAGGGCACTAGAAGGACCCCATCAAACGGCAGACGACTTGGCGGAGTCAGACTCTCCTAGATGGGAGCGGGCAAGTGCACAGAGGAGTTACTGGAAGGGTGAAGGCCCTGTACCTTGCTCCCAGAAGGGTAAAGCTCCAGCCAGATTCACTGGCCAGATGCCGCCGCCTATATGGCGCAGGGAAGGAGGTCTCCGTATCCCTCCCACTTGTGGCAGCCCTAGCTGAATGGCGGGCAGACCAGTTCTCCTCGGACAGAGGGGGCGACTAGAGCGGGGATATTGACATCGTGCTCAAGAGGCGCTGTGAGACGGAGGACACATTCACGCCTAGGGAGACAACGAGCAAGTGGGCAAGGACTCCTCCCATGTAATTGGGCCGTGCGGCGTCCTTGCCCACCCGGTACAAGCTTGGCTAGATTTAACAACTGGATATTCAGAATTGTCTCTACCCGAACACATTGCACGTTGCGTGTGCCGCAGGTTCAGCAGGCCGCTAGAGTGAGGAGTCTGCAGGAAACTTCGGACAGGATGCCAGACTGGTGCGCCAGGTCAAGATAACCATGCCCCTGGAGCTTGGAACCTGGTCACAAGTGCATGATGCACACAGGCCGGGGCCCCATGACAGGGGTCGAGCGCAATCTCAGTCTGGCGCAGGACGCACTGAGATTCGTGTCGGGCCCTCTATACAGGATGCTCGTACTGGTGACCAAGACTTGCTCAGAGGATGCTGTCCTAGACCTGTTTTTTTCCTTACAAGACTGAGCTCTGCGCTTCTACCCAATTTTATGGTAGGGACAAGGTCTGGGTTTTTTCCACTCTGTGTTTTACTGGAGAATCTTAAACGCCGTCATGGTATACCATCACTTCAGGAGGGTTCACGGAACTGGATCGGTTGGAAGCATGCCTCTCTGTCCCAGTGGACAATGAGTGCCGAAGATTTTGCCATTTCCCTAGGTAGGACAGACCCTACCAATTTACCTGTCGTCCTGTAGACCTATGAATGGTGGACCTCCCCTCTGCATCAGTCCGGATGATCCATGGTTGGCGATGGAGTCGGAGTTCCCCATGAACGACAGGGAACTGCTTGCGAGTTAGTTTGTAATTAGGAGTCAGCTAATTATTTCATGATTGCTGTGTTCCCCTCCAGATGGACAATGCTTCGGCAGTACAAGGCTTCACCTGCCTGGGAGGGGTCTGCTCCCGGTTTCTCTCGAGAGTTGGACCTGACGACGGGTTGGTGCTCCAGACATTGGAGGGATGCCAGCGATTGAAGGACCCCTGGTCCCACTATCCTCGTGTCTCGGAGGTATGTGACTGTCGTGGCCTCCGGGGGCTAGGTGTTCTTTTCTTTAGGACATACGTGTGGTTTGGTTGTTCTTCCAGGTTTGGCTGGATTCTCAGGACCTTCCCTTTGTCGACGTTGGGTTTGCCCTCTTGCTATGTTTTATTTCTTTCAGACCTGTGTCGGGCATCCGGGCCTTAGATGTTGACGTGTTTCTTCCTCTCCGGAAAGGTTCTCCTTTCGGGATGTCTATACGTACTGGTCGGATTCGACAGTTATATCCTACCTGTATTTCCACGACCAGTCTAGACTCTGCGTGGTGACGACTCGTAGGTAGCAATCCTTCCCCTCTTCACCTTTCTCGTTCCGGTCAGTTGTTAATGTCTTCTGTCAGAGATATCCGGTCTCGTCTCCTTCCTCTGTGCGATGGATTTGGGGTTGGCATTGTGGGACTATATTCGGTTTTCAGAACATTTTCGGGTTTTCCTAGTAGGTACGGTTTGCCTATTTTAGTTAGACCGGGGGATAGTGTTTCTTTGCTTTGCTGTCTGAGCGTTAAAACAGCAAATATGAAGCCTCCTGTCATGTTATAAAATTGTAAATTATACTAGCTTTAGTGTAACTATGATCTTAATTTTATTAATGACAGGAGGTGAATATTTCCCTCCCAGTTTCTCCTTCCCCTTGTTTGTTTGTTAGTTTTGACTGACCTACTGTCTGGTCTCCTGGGCTAGGGTTGATAGGTCTGGTAGTGTTCCTAGGGGAGTTGGGTGTTTATCTGGGTTATTGTATTGTCAGTATTTGATGATGGGGATGCATGTTTTCTCAGTACATTTCATTCACTAATCTGTGTTTTTGACTCGGTTTATCTCGTTTCAGTTAAATGGTTCGACTACCGTTCTTAGATCCAAGTTTTCTTCAGGATAAGGTCAAGACTCCATCCACTGGTTCCACATTTTTCAATTCCAGATTGCATTCCTCATTATGTTTGTTTCTTCTGTTATTTTTATTAGTTGTGTGTTGTTCATGTACTTTATTTTGTCGCTGCATGAAAGAGGAAATAGTTGGTTGGGAGGAGCCTTTTATGGATTCTTTACTTTTTTGTCTTTGGTGTTTTTCTCTCTATGTGCTGCTGTGGAGTTCTAGTTAAGAGATACTTAAGCAAATATGAAGCCTCCTGTCATGTTATAAAATTAAGATTATAGTTACACTAAAGCTAGTATAATCTACAATTCTCACTAGTATATAAACCATGCTAGTGTCACACTAAAATCAATGACCCTTACTAGGGAAAAGAACATTTTCTTTCCTTTGTAATGGAACGCCACATTACCATAAGAAGGATTTTCTTTCCTCCAAACTTTTAACAACTTTAACCTAGTCTCTAACTAGGAACAATGGTCCAGGTCCATTGTGACACTATCTACTATTCAGTATCCCTCTTACATTAGACTAGGCTACATTCTCATTCCAGATATACATCTACCCACATTACAACATAGAATGATTGAAATAATGACAAAGCCAGCCCTCTTACCTTGACAAGCTCCTCCACACTCTACCTGGCGACTTAATGAAGCATTCTAAAGTGATCCTGCTATAGCTCAGAAGATCTCACATGCTCTCCTGGATTATTTCACAGAGAATACCACTACAGATGTATCCTCCTTAATCACTTGGGAAGCATTTAAGGAAGCGATTAGAGGCAAACTACTTTCATTTGACAGCTCAGAAAAAGAGGAGGGTTTAGCTGCTTTATACAGGGATATTTTGAAGACGCAACGCCTCCACAATGTTTCCTTAGATGGAATGCTTTACGAGTGCTTAGTAAACTGGCAGATCTTTTAACATCCAGGATAAAGGATTTATTTCTTTGCCACTGTCATGATAGCTATTTTATGAACAGGGTAACAAATGTGGAAGACTGTAGGGCTGCATGCTGGTCAGTGTCCCTCAGCAGCTGAAGTCAAAGTGTCTAGACTCTAGACAATCCCTGCTTAAAGGTAAAATTGTTTCATTGCGCCTCATTTTTCCCTCTATTGGTCACTTCACCTGACCTGTGAATAAAAGCAACATTATGTGGCTGTCTTCTAATAATCTTTTGTGTTGATTTGGCAGGAGATCCAGCCCACAATAATGAACAAAAGTTTGCACCATCATGGAAACCTAAGCTACTTATTTGCCCAGATCCAAAAAAACAGCCTCTTATCCATTCCATCCTGGAATGACACTCAGAATCAAGAACCAAACTAAAGATGTTCAGGCTCACATAAGATGTTTTTTATGAGATTCTGGTATGTGGTGGTTTGAAAATGAATAGTTTAGCTGACCACCTACTTGCCCCAAAGATTGTCCTGTATTGCAGTTGGAATCCAATCTCCATGTAACCGATACTAATTCACTAAGCTGGGGAATTGGTTAAGAGTAGACATGGGAATTACAAAACTTAAGCACAACTAAATGAATTATCATCTGCTATATATCCCAGCTAAGCTATTTTGGACTAGAATTTGCAATCTCCGTTATTCTTCATTAAATGGATAAACCTCTCAGAACAGATAGTTTCATCAAGTTTGTTTTGCAGGACAGATAGTGCCGATGCTTTTGGCAAGCCTTTTTGGCCAGAATATGTCTGCGATTTCTGCTCCAAGGGGAAAAAAGGTTGAATCAGCACATAGAATGTCATTAAATGCAAACACTTTATGGTGGCAGAAGATATGGGCACTAAATATTAAACTTCAACACAGAAGTAGATACAGCGGGGAAAAGCAATTATCACAGTTTAATGTCAAGGCAATAAAATGCCATATTTACAGAGCACCGCTGAGCAATGAGACAGTTTATTGTCCATTACAATGATTAGCCTCTATCTTGTTTTCTTTTTCATAATCCTTACTGAGTGGGCACCAGAGCAATGCAATGCTCAACAAATAGGTTTCTAATCTCTATTTACAATTTTTGCCCTCGGAGGAATCCTGAATAAATAGACTTCCATGTTATTTTATGTATTAATGGCATTGAGGTTTGCAGAATAAAATCAGTCTGCTTTTATTTAAAGGAACGCTATAGTGTTAGGAATACAAATGTGTATTAATTTAGCTATAATGCCCCATGGGCTGTTTTGGAGCCGGACCCCACCGGCAGGGAGTGGAAAAAAATATTGAACTTGCATTTTCTACCTTGTAGTGCCATTCTCCATGGGGAAGCTCCACCACCTGGACTGAGATCATCCACATTGATGATCTCAACCAATCCAGTGTTTCCCCAGACTGGGATGAAGTGGTCTGGTCGTGTATAATGTCACTTTAAATGTACACTACAGGCACCCAGTACACAATAAGACACAATAGGCGCAAAGTGTCCCTATTTTTTAAATACAACATTTATTGAATATTTACTATCACAATATACATAAACAAAATATAAAAAATATATATATATTTTACAGACAAAAGACACCACACACAGACCCCACCTAGACTAGGAAGAAGCTCCACCTATCGGGAGTTTCTCGTTATGGAGTTTATTACTCCAAAACCTTGTGTCCAACAGAGGATTTTAAGAAATATTTCTTTTAGCGCTTATTTCCATAAGTGGAATGGCTCAACAAGGATATAGGTGCATTATTGCAGCAATTGACAGTCCCATTTGCAGTTTTGTGAACCAAATTGTGTGCAGCAATCTCCCAAGCTGGCTCTAACCACACTCAACCTCTTCCCACCATTAAATAGAGATGTACATCCAAGTTGTGCATTTGGAGTCACATCTGAGGAAGTAAAATTCTTTTTTTTCCAAATTACTGCAGTTTTAAGATGCTCGGAAGATCAGTGCAGTTACAACTCTACAATGATACAAAGTTATTATGGTACTTAGAGTGAACCTTTAATTTATTAAAATATAATGATAACATATTATACTGTAACAAAAAATTTTTTATACAGTTCTTTTTTTAAATTATTTTATTGAAAAACTCATAAGTATGTTATTTCACATTCTGAATCTCACAAATCCGTTTTGAATCACATTAGTTTTAAATGCAAAACCCTGATTGGAAAACTCACCATGTATTCTTCATGCATTATTTTTATTAAAAGTTAATATCTGTGCATTTTTGTCCCCACATTTTTAATTTCTCATTGATTTAGAGATACTCTACACCTGCCTGTCTTTTCTACGCACAAATGTGTTGTTAAAAAACTATACAAACATGTAGTCATTACTTTTTACAGGTTCTGTTACAGCAGTAGTTATAGAATGAATGTATAATGTATTTAAAGAGCGCTAGCGGGTGTAGTTAGCAGTGATTACAGTACAGTAGAGGGAGATACAGTAAGTACAGTGATCATAAAATGACTGTATACATGATTTTATTTATACAGCACTATCAGGTGTGCTCAGTACGTTACAGGTTGTAAAACAAGAGTAAGCTGCAGTACTTATATAGTGTATGTGTGTGTATTTTATTCATAAAAGTGTATTCATTGAACTCTGAGGTCCAAAGTTGGCAAAGTTTCAAAATACACAATAATGGCTCACCCCGCACAAGCTATTGCTAAAATGAAGGTAGAATTTGCATCATGAAACATTCTATAAAGGATGATGAAAGACATACACTCTGTACACTCAGGGAATAAAGACAATATAGAATAGACAAACTAATAGAAAAGGAACAGAGGGTTCTGCCCACAAACTGAGACCTAGCATTTAATGTCCTTTTATACAAAGTACTAAGCTACATGGCTTGTGAGCTTACAATCTAAAGGTTATGATGGGGATTTGAAACAAAAGGAGGCTGGGGAAAATTGATGGTGATTGACAGGTAGTCTTAGAGCATTAGCACAGATGTTATGTGATTGAGGAGGTAATTGGGGTATATGCCAAACACCTGGCTCGACAAGAATGCTATAAAGGAAAAAGAAGCCATGGTGGGAACTCCTTAGTGGATATGGAGTTGTTGCTTACAGTGGATGAAGTGTGAGACCTCTAGATAGGATTGAATTAAGAGATATCAGAGCAGTGAAGGTATTTACTGCTGAGAAATAGGGACAAGCACGTGTTGTTAGCCCAATTGATTCTATCTCCCAAGAATTTAAAGGAATTCTATAGTGTTAGGAATACAAATCTGTATTCCTAACACTATACAGCCCTCTGGTCATCCCCACTCTTGTGACCCCCCACCCGCCCATTCTTCCCCGCTCCCCCCCATTGTCCTCTGACATCATCCTACACAATAATGCTAATGCGCATGTATTTCCCTTTTTTAGTCCAATGGAGATTCTGACAAAATCTGGACTGTTGGAGGGCCATGACTTGGTTGGGAACCACAGATTTAGGGAACCAAAAGTCCATTAGCAACCAGGAAGTGTCTCTAGTGGCAGTCTGATTGACAGCCACTAGAGGCAGTCTTAGTCCTGCAATGTAATTATTGCAGTTTCTCAAAAACTGCAATGATTTACATTGCAGTACTAATTGGCACTAGGAGACGGCACCTAGACCATCTTCAATGAGATGAAGTGGTCTGGGTGACTATTGTAACCCTTTAAAAATCACATGTACAGGCAATACTAACAGACTGCATATACAAAATACAATAAAAACTACACACACAGAAAACTGCACTGAAAAAGTAACAGTAATGAAAGTAACAATAAAGAAAAAAATATATATGTAGCCACAAAGGGAGAAAACAGTTAGTTTTTTTCAAAGATGTCTTCAGTAGCACAGAGCTTGCTGGACATTGCTGGGGGAAATAAGGCACTGTGTGCAGTGGATATAGTGGGAGGTCTCTCATAGCTTGTGGATATTTTGGTGTAAAATAGAGTCATTGCATGTGGTGGATGGAGTGTGAGGTCTCTCGGAGGTTTCTGGATGTTTTGGGGTAAATTGGAGGCATTGCTTGCGGTGGATGGAGTGTGAGGCCTCTAGATGGGATAGTGCAGGCCATGATGCAATTCCCTGCAACAAGTGCCTCAAATGACATTATGTTCAAAGAGTGAAGCAATATATCCAGGACTGTCTAACCTACAGTATTAATCTAGTCATGGTAGAGAACAGACAGTTTGCTCAGTCTAGCTATTTATTATCTCAATATCTGTTATTCCAGGTAATTGCATTGATTTATTATTTGATGGCTGGGGCAAATGGGAAGGATTACAGCTTTAGCACATATATCAAGTGTATTTATCTGTCGGTGTGACTGTCTGTCTCTATTTATCATTCTATATGTCTGCCTCTTTCTCTATCATTCTCTCTGCCTCTCTAGCTATCGTTCTATCTATCGTTCCATTTGTCTGTCTCTATATCTATCGTTCTGTCTGTCTGTCTGTCTATCTATCTATCTAATCATTCTGTCTGTCTGCCTCTCTATCTATCATTCTGTCTGTCTGCCTCTCTATCTATCAATCATTCTGTCTGTCTGCCTCTCTATCTATCGTTCTGTCTGTCTGCCTCTCTATCTATCTATCTATCGTTCTGTCTGCCTATCTATCATTCTGTCTGCCTATCTATCATTCTGTCTGTCTGCCTCTATCTATCTATCGTTCTGTCTGTCTGCCTCTCTATCTTTTGTTCTGTCTGTCTGCCTCTCTATCGTTCTGTCTGTCTGCCTCTCTATCGTTCTGTCTGCCTCTCTATCATTCTGTCTGTCTGCCTCTCTATCTATCATTCTGTCTGTCTGCCTCTCTATCTATCTATTGCTCTGTCTGTCTGCCTCTCTATCTATCGTTCTGTCTGTCTGCCTGCCTCTCTCTATCATTCTATCTGTCTACCTCTCTTTATCGTTCCATCTGTCTGTCTTCTTCACCCTCTTTGCTCTGTCTGCCTCTCTGTCTTCTGATCTGTTATTTCATGTCATTGTTTTTACTGAAAGTTATATATATTTTGTTTCTGCAACTCACATGGTTAATTTTCTCTTTCTAAGTGCAGTACATTCTGCCAGTTTCTTTCTACATTTAGATTTTGAATCAGCCCAAGCACTGAAATAATTAAATATGGATTTACCGAACACATGGGACTGTACTTTCCAGGATAAATATTTCCACGAGTATTTACGTTTGACATTTGTACAACATCTTGGCTCGAGGCTTACAAATTGAGAGATCCAAGCTCTCCCAGGCTTTATAAATATGTGTAGTGGGTAATGATGTGTTTGTTTATTTTTTAAAGTTCCAGAGTGTAATGTAGCCTCGTACTTTGGATACAGAAAGCATCCAAAAAAAAGCAAAAGATGCTTTCTGTATATGCATGAACGGAGACTGGATTTAGGGCAACCCTAAAAATTTAGGTATTGTGGAATAATTGTAAACACTGTGTAATACAGCCACGATGTGCAGGCAACATCTTAGGTCCATGGTCTAAGGCAGGGGTCCTCAAACTCTGGCCCCCCAGAAGTTGCTGAACTACAACTCCCATGTTTCTCTGGCTATCTATGTAATTCAAAGAATTATGGGAGTTGTAGTTCAGCAACATCTGGAAGGCCACAGTTTGAGCACCCCTGGTCTAAGGGATAGTCCCCATCAGCAGATACTGCCTATCCCAGTACGACCAATAGGCAAAGGGATAACTGTATGTTGAGGGATACTTGTACACCCATGTGCTATCTTTTCCTAGTTTATAACCAATTGCGATAAGATCTGTTATTCTTGTGGTACAGGTCTATTTGTGGCTTCTTCAGTTATACAATAGAGGGGGTGTTGATGATGCATTCCTCAATCTATGTGGGGACAGAGCACCATTGAAATGTCTGTGTAGTTAGCAATACAATTCCCCCACCTCACCCCCCTAAGAAATAGCCTCTCTTCACCTAGGCCGGTCCCTTCACGGGGTTGGGCCTTTAATTGTATCCAAGCATTGCCTCCTCCTGCCCCTTGTGTGGGTTTGCATTGATCCAGATGCTATAATCTAAAGCTATGCATAATGAAAAAATAGCATTAAAAAACATATTGCCTGGGCTTTTCTATTTATAGGGTCTTTTACTTGTGTGACATGATTAATCTGTTACTCAATTCATTGACAAACTGGATATGCCAAAAATGAGGTTTGCCAATAGAGTAAAACATGTACTGTGAGTCAAAAGTGAGAAGCAATTCAGGAATCACCAAATCACCTCTGAAAATCCCCCATGATGCATAGTTTTAAATATTCAAGATGGCAGCTTTCATTGGGGATGGGTAGCATTGCATATGCTATAGGCACATCAGTTGATCTAATCTAACAATGCATGTGATTCCTGACTTTTGATTCACCCTGTATTTAATGGTTTTAAGGGAGCAGGTATGGTAAACAATTCCTGGGACATTTCAATCGCTTAAATTACAAATGTAAGAAAATGCCACGCTCTATGCGGCAAAGTCCTGTGGCTAACCTGAAATTATCTTCAACTGAGCATTGTTTATTGTTGCTATATCTCAAATGTTAATTTGCTTGACATTCAATTAGTACTATGCATGGATAGAGTCGTATGTTGCACTGTCTATGATAAAGTCAAGTTAAAGAGACAATGAGGTTTATATATCTTTGCCTTCTGTAAAAACAAAATGTGAATCTGTAGAAGGTTAAAGACTTGGGAAATAAAACAACCTACAGAGCAAAAACATTTTATGTTTTTCGGGTGTTTTTTATCGCTAAATCCAGCAGCTCTGAAGTCATTGGAGGACTGCAGTCCCTATCAACCTTTGCAAATCAGCGGTTGTCTTGGAGTAATGGGAGTTAAAGTCCAATAACAGATGGAAGGATGAATAGAGTACTGAACCCGTAAAAGTGAAGCAGATGTGCGCCATCATTAACCACATCTGACATTTAAGAACACAACGAAACTGGATGACATCCCAAATCCAAGCAGATGCAGGACGCAGGGGTGAGGCCCCACAGTATTTTATTTTTCTTTTCTTGCTAAATACTAACCTATACAGCAATATTTCCAATGTTTTCTTTAAAAAAAATTACAAAACCAAAAACCCAATAACTCTAATTTATGATCCAAATCACGTTGATTTACATTCCAGTCTTGGATTACCTATTAATGATACATTATTAATATTTTTACAGCGCTAACAATTTCCACAAGCCTGTACTATACAGTGACTAAATAATGCAGTTTCACAGACAGAAACGGATAAAGTGGAATCTACTTTTGGAAATGGCAAATTTTAGGTCAAAACAGCAAAAAGAGGGGAAGCAGGGAGGATTTAACCTCCCCTATACTAAGATGACACCCGTAGAGTGAGGGGGGGACATGTAGGGATTTAGCAGGTAGCTCCCTTAGTAATAAACTAAAATGAACTAACAAAGAACGAATTGCAGGATGGAATTTTATCCAACAAGCAATTCAGTCTTCGTTTCATTTATTGTAATTTCTATTATTTCATCTTTCAGTTGAATTGACGAATAGCCGAAATTCGGCCAAAAACTAATGCCCAATTCTAATGGTTATGGTTCCTGTCTAACCTCTGAGCCCTAGCAGTGGGTAGAATCATAATACATGCAGTGTAAGGTACAGCCAGAGGCATTCTCACAATATGAACAATTCACAATGATTACAGAGCAAGGAACTGTTCATGTAGACAGTGTACCATGCGGGGGCAGTGCATGTAGTGTCAGACAGGGTAAACAGTGAGTGCAATGTCAGACAAAGTAAATGCAGTGGATAGAGTGTCAGAGACATTGCATACAGTGATTGCAGTATTAAATTAATTGATAAAGAGAACACAGTGTAAGAGTTAGTGTATGCAGTGAGTGTAATGGCAGACCAGTGGGTACAGTGTCAAAGGCAGTGCATGCATACAGGAGCAGTACATACACTGTGTTAAGTGTCTAGGGACAGTGTCTGCAGTGAGTGTAGTGTATAGAAGCAGTGTATGCAGTGAGTGCAATGTATATTGGCAGTGTATGCAGTGAGCGCAGTGCACAGGGACAGTGCATGCAGTTAGTGAAGTATATAGGGGTAGTGCACGCAATGAGTGAAGTATATAGAGGCAGTGTATACTGGCAGTGTATGCAGTGTATATTGGCAGTGCATGCAATGAGTGAAAGTATATAGAGGCAGTGTATACCGGCAGTGTATATTGGCAGTGCATGCAATGAGTGAAGTGTATAGGGACACGGCATATAGTTAATGCAGTGTATAGAGGCAGGGCCTGCAGTGAATCCAGTGTCAGAGGCATTGTATATAGTGAGTGCATTATATCGAGGCAGTGCCTGCATTAAGTCCAGTGTCAGAGGCAGCGCATACTGTGATTGCAGTGTACAGAGGCAGTGCCTGCAGAGTATCAGACGCATATAGTGAGTGCAGTGTATAGATGCAGTGACTGCAGTGTGTCCAGTATCAGTGGCAGTGCATACAGTAAATGCAGTGTATGGGCAGTGCATGCAGTGAGTGCACTGTAATGAGCAGTGTATGCAGTGAGTGCAGTGTACAGGGGCAGTGCATGCAGAGTATCAGAGGCAGTGCATATAGTAAATGCAGTGTATGGGCAGTGCATACAGTGAGTACACTGTAATTAGCAGTGTATGCAGTGAGTGCAGTTTACAGGGGCAGTGCATACAGTGAGTGCACTGTAATTAGCAGTGCATACAGTGAGTGCAGTGTACAGGGGCAATGCATAGAGTGAGTGCAGTGTAATTGGCAGTGTATGCAGTGACAGTGAATGCAGTGAGTGCAGTGTAATTAGCAGTGTATGCAGTGAGTGCACTGTAATTAGCAGTGCATACAGTGAGTGCAGTGTATAGGGACAGTGCATACAGTGAGTGCAGTGTAATTATCAGTGCATAGAGTGAGTGCAGTGTACAGGGGCAGTGCATACAGTGAGTGCAGTGTGCAGGGGCAGTGCATGCAGTGAGTGCACTGTAATTAGCAGTGTATGCAGTGAGTGCAGTGTACAGGGGTAGTGCATGCAGTGAGTGCACTGTAATTAGCAGTGTATGCAGTGAGTGTAGTGTGCAGGGGCAGTGTATGCAGTGAGTGCACTGTAATTAGCAGTGTATGCAGTGAGTGCAGTGTACAGGGGCAGTGCATACAGTGAGTGCAGTGTGATTGGCAGGGAGCTCAGCCCAGGGGCGGCTCATTGTTATATAAGCAGACAGTGCGATGTTCAGGCTCACTGGGAGGGAACTGCCGGCAGCTGATGATCCGGTGACACTGACTCAGGATGGAGCTCCTGCTCCTGTCCCCCCAGCCGGCCCCCGGGTACCTGCAGTTCCTAGCGGGGCTGCTGTCCACCCGTGGGGCCCCCGGGTACTTGCTGCTCCTGGCCGGGCTCCTGTGCCCCATGCCGGTCCTCTCTCACCCGCAGTGCCTGGATTTCAAGCCCCCGTTCCGCCCGGTCCAGGAGCTCACTTTCTGCGTTCAGTACAAGGACTTCGGCTGCTGCGACTCAGCCCGAGACTCCGAGCTCATGAGCGCCTTCTACCGGGTGCTGGGAAACCTCGACCGAGCAGGCTATGAGCGCTGTGCTGCCCATGTGCAGGACATTCTGTGCCAGGTGAGTGGGCAGTGCCCAGGGGGCCAGGGAAATCACTGAGGGGCATGGCAACCAGAACCATGGGGACCAGGGAAACCACTGAGGGACTGGCAACTAGAACCATGGGCATGGCAACTAGAACCATGGGGACCAGGGAAACCACTGAGGGACTGGCAACTAGAACCATGGGCATGGCAACTAGAACCATGGGGACCAGGGAAACAACTGAGGGACATGGCAACTAGAACCATGGGCATGGCAACTAGAACCATGGGGACCAGGGAAACCACTGAGGGACATGGCAACTAGAACCATGGGCATGGCAACCAGAACCATGGGGACCAGGGAAACCACATGGCAACTAGCATGGGCATGGCCAGAACCATGGGGACCAGGGAAACCACTGAGGGACTGGCAACTAGAACCATGGGCATGGCAACTAGAACCATGGGGACCAGGGAAACAACTGAGGGACATGGCAACTAGAACCATGGGCATGGCAACTAGAACCATGGGGACCAGGGAAACCACTGAGGGACATGGCAACTAGAACCATGGGCATGGCAACCAGAACCATGGGGACCAGGGAAACCACTGAGGGACTGGCAACTAGAACCATGGGCATGGCAACTAGAACCATGGGGACCAGGGAAACAACTGAGGGACATGGCAACTAGAACCATGGGCATGGCAACTAGAACCATGGGGACCAGGTAAACCACTGAGGGACATGGCAACTAGAACCATGGGCATGGCAACCAGAACCATGGGGACCAGGGAAACCACTGAGGGACATGGCAACTAGAACCATGGGCATGGCAACCAGAACCATGGGGTCCAGGGAAACCACTGAGGGACATGGCAACTAGAACCATGGGCATGGCAACTAGAACCATGGGGACCAGGGAAACCACTGAGGGACATGGCAACCAGAACCATGGGGACCATGGAAACCACTGAGGAACATGGCAACCAGAACCATGGGGACCTGGGAAACCACTGAGGTACATGGCAACTAGAACCATGGGGACCAGGGAAACCACTGAGGGACATGGAAACCAGAACCATGGTGACCAGGCTAACCACTGAGGGACATGGCAGCTAGAACTCATGGGGACCAGGGAAACTACTGATGGGCATGTCAACCAGAACCATGGACATGACAACCAACACTCTGGGGACCAATGGGCAGCACCAAGTGGACCTGTGAAAAACACCCAGGGGACCAGTGGGACATGGCAAACAGCAGCAAGGGGACCAGTGGGACATGGCAAACAGCACCCAGGGGACAAGTAGGGCATGGCAAACAGCACCCAGGGGACCAGTGGGGCATGACAAACAGCACCCAGGGGACAAGTAGGGCATGGCAAACAGCACCCAGGGGACCAGTAGGGCATGACAAACAGCACCCAGGGGACAAGTAGGGCATGGCAAACAGCACCCAGGAGACCAGTAGGGCATGACAAACAGCACCCAGGGGACCAGTGGGGCATGGCAAACAGCACCCATTGGGACCAGTGGAGATCACCTTGGGGAATGTTACACAGCTCTCAGGGTATTAGTAGATAAAACCTAGAAGCATGGTAAACATCAGCCAAGAGACTTGTGGTTAGCACACAGTGCATGGTAAACAGAACCCAAGGGACCAATGGGTAGCACTCAGTGCATAGTATACAGCACCCAGGAGACCAGTGAAAAATACTCAAAGGCATGGAAAAGAGCACCTAGGGGGACCAGTGGGCACCAAGATATATAGCAAATTTCACCAAGGGGGCCAGTGAAACACACTCAGTGGCATGGAAAACAGTACCCAGGGGACTAGTGGGCAGCACCCTGCACATGTCCATTAGAACTCAGGGTACATGGGCAAAATACTTGAACATTAAAAACAGCATCTATGGGATCAGTGTGCACCATCCAGGGAGACAGATGGATAAGATTTAGGTGATTAGTGGACAGATTATAGAGGACCAGTCGAAAGGGTCTAAAGGATCAGTTGGCAGACCCAAAGTGACTGTCCCTATCCACAGTGTTTGCCAGACCTTTATTTTTTAATGCCATTTATGATTTCTGAATTCTAACTGTAGGACTTGTGGAGCTTGCTGTCAGAATATGACTCATTCTCAAAATGAACACATGCACAATCATTTGGTTAGTTCGTCAATGCCAACTGTGAGACCCAGGTTTGAATCCAGACCACCTCCCCAGTGGGCAAGACACCTAATGATATATTTCTTCCTACGTTGAGTCCTCACAGTTTGCAAACTTGTTTGAGCAGGGCTTTTATCACTCCTAAATATTCCCTTTGTATAATTGTAAAGTTCTGCCCAATGTATTAGCAGAATAACAATGTTAATAATTGTGCCAGTCTCAAAATTTTTATTCTGTTTACCCTGTGATCATGGCATGTTTAAAAATGTTAGCGCATGTTTTACTGGTTTTTATGGCATCTTCTTAATACTGTTACTATTTGGGGCTAGGTGGCCTAATTGAGGGGGGCAACATCTCAAACTAAAATCTACAACACTAGAGATCTATGACTAGTCTATGACTTCCTAGGGCAAAGCTTCCAATACTAAAGTGGTTTCATACTGGGATGCCTTAGTTCAAATTTTCAGATGATATTTTTTTTAATTGCAAGTTGGTGGTCATAGGTCACATCTGGTCCATAAAACTTCTCACTGGCAAAACAATTTGTGTATTTGATTTTTCCCCCCTGTGTTTCCCTCCTAGGAGTGTTCTCCTTACGCTGCACATCTCTTTGATGCAGAGGACCCCTCTACTCCAGTTCGAACGATTGCTGGCCTCTGTATGGATTACTGTGTGGATGTCTGGCAGAAGTGCAGGTCTATTTTTCAATACATGACGTCAGACAAGGAATTATTAGCACTGGAAAGCAACATGGCGAAATTCTGCCGCCAGCTGGCTCTCGATGACTCAGACTACTGTTTCCCTCACTTGTTGGTCAACACAAACCTTAACAAAAATCTGGGACGGGTCATAGCTGACTCAGAGGGCTGTCTACAGCTATGCCTCGAGGAAGTAGCTAATAGTCTTCGGAATCCAGTTGCCATGGTACACGCCAATGATGGAACACACAGATTTTTTGTAGCAGAACAAGTGGGTTTAGTTTGGACCTATCTCCCTGACAAATCTAGACTGGAAAAGCCCTTTTTAAACATCTCCAAAGCCGTGCTTACCTCACCTTGGGAAGGAGATGAGCGAGGATTCCTTGGAATTGTTTTCCACCCAAACTTTAAACATAATGGCAAAGTCTATGTTTACTATTCAGTGGAAATTGGCTTTGATGAAATTATCCGAATCAGCGAGTTCAGAGTTTCCTCACATGACATGAATACAGTAGACCACAGCTCAGAAAGGTAGTAGTGCCAAAATACTTCTCATCTCTGCCAAGCAACTCCATAAAATATTAACAAGGCCCTGGTACTTTGGGCATGAAGCCACTTGTCACAGGAAAAACAAAAGCCTTCTTTGAAAACAAACTGATATTGACTGTTTTTTTTTTTCCTGTTTCCAACTCTTATTTGGAAATGGAGTCAGATATTCGGCTGTTACTGCTTGGATTTGCTATTTGTGGAGTTGCACATATGTGTCAAAATTCAACAAATGGTGCCATGATTTCACAATCCTTTTAATGAGTCACTGGCAGTATATTTGGTCTCAACAACAAAGAGACTAAATTGGAATTGAGGAGTCTTTTTTTTTTTTTTTTTGCAGTTCGCAACTATTGATCGTTGCATCACAAACCTCTCGAAAATCCACAAATGAAATAAATAAAAAAATAAACCAGCCTTAGTTTACAGCGTTACTCCATCCAAAAACAGTGTTTTAAACAAACGCTGTTTTTGGATGGAGCATGCATTTCTAGCACGCCTCAACTCCTTTAAAAACAAACAAAAAAACTAACAGAGATAGAAAAATAAAATTACATTAGGTCTCATGTCAAGGCCACGTTCTTCCTGCAGCCCAATTTTCTCCAGTGATATCACTCCCTTTTACTGCAGTTGTAAGGGTGTCCCAGAAGATGGGTTGAGGAAGCTATGCCACCTCAGCAGCATTGAGGGGGCTATGCCACCAATGATCATCTGTTGCAGCATGCCTTGCTTGCCGATGATGGACACAAACTATGATTTAACATTAGCCAGTCCAGAACTCTTGTTCTGGGCTGTAAATGACACCGCTGCAGGTGCTATATCTACGTATTTGTAGCTTTTCATAATGAAACATTACACAGAGACTTAACGCACAAGCCAAGCTAGCTGAATTGGGTAAAAAGTTGTTAAATTGGAGAATTTTTCCAGTTTTGGCCTTGGTTTTTCAATTTCCTTGCAAATTCACCACAATTCACAGTTTCAGGGAGAATTATCAGGAAGTAAAATAGATCTCAAATTTAAGGTCAAAAGAGCCAAATTTGAATGCCTTTTCCAAAATGGACATCTCAATGCAGTGCCCTTCCTGGGTGACCAATGTACAGTCCTGGTGAATAGCTTTTGCATGGGGAAAAATGCCATACTTGCTTGCCTAGTTTCTTGTCTCTGGTGTGTCCCCATAAATGGGTAAATCTCCGCTCAGGTCTCAAAATGGTTTTTGCTCACTTGTGCCATTACAGAGTGGACCTATACCATTTGCAGACTGATCCCACCTGCAAGGGCCGTCCAGATTTAAAATACCAGCTGGAGAACTCACTGGACACCTACTGAAGGGCGAGATATTTGAGCATTTGTCCATTCTCAGTATTCTCTTGCACACTGTTTTTTTTGCTCTCCATAAGGTAAACGCATAATCCAGACGTAGACCCCTAGTTCAATGTGTAGACTATTCCTCGCTGATGAGGCCTAACAAGGCTAAAACAATTGTCTGGGATTACTGTATCTCTCTACAGCAATTCGGTTCTGAACTGTCCTTATGGGTGGGATCAGTCTGATATGCTAATAGACTAGGTTCTCTTTGTAATGGCACAAGATGAGCTAAAACCAGCTTGAAAACCGAGTGGGGATTCACTGAAAGGCAAGCTAGTTGAGTTCTCTTATACCTGAGCTCGCTGTTGGGCAGGCAAGACAAATGCTTGGTGCGATCATTGGCCAAAATATATGCTCCTGGTGTCATTAACCTCTTCACTATCAAGACATATGCAAAAATGATTACCAGAAGGACTTCGTATACAATGGTTTGAGATGTATAGATGCATACACCTGTTTCTTGAGTGCTTGAGTATACACATTATTTGGAGTGAATGGGTTAATCTAATTATATATGTTCCAGTATTTGTAATTTCATTTTTGTTGAATTACTTATTTTACTTTTCTATTTCTCTAATTAAGGATAATTCTGGAAGTCGAAGAACCGGCCTCCAATCACAACGGCGGAGAACTGCTTTTTGGGTTTGACGGCTATCTCTATATATTTATCGGTGACGGAGGAATGGCTGGAGACCCCTTTGGGAAGTTTGGAAATGCTCAAAACAAGTAAGGACTCATTCAGCCTTATGTATGAATGAGCAGGTCCCTGCTTGCTACATTTAAATCAATACTTGTCATATATTGAAACTACACTTTTCATGTGTTAGCCCTCTGGGCACCAGAGTTAAAAGAATCTCATTGAATCCTTTTACAAATTAATATTTTTATAACCCCTTGTTACTCAGATGCTTAACTTAAACATAATGTTAACATAAACTTTATTGTGCAACGTTACTTTTCTTCGGACATTGCCATAAAGTCACCTTAAATTCCAAAACATTGCAGATGTAGATCTTTTGCTGAAACATTAGGTGCATATGGAGTTATGGAGTTAACAAAAACATTGATTAAAGGATAAATGTCAACCCAGGATTTCGAATATATTTTCTTATCCCCTATAGTAAACAAATATCTATTTGTTGGGTCTGAAAGATGAAAATTAAGTGTAAAAATCCACACCTCAGTTTTGACCTTTGTGGTTAAACTATAGTCACAAAAGATTATAAAGAATAGGTTAGTCTAGAACACAAGTATATATAGATCTCAATCTTCAAACACAAGTATATATCCACAGCTAAAGGATTGTGATTGTCAATTTGTATATTTTTTTCTATATATGGGGAACACAGTAAACAATCCGAAAAGGTTTACCTATTTGCTGCTATCACCCTGATCCTTTGTTGCTCATTCAGAGGGTATCAATCACAGATGATGAAAACAGCAGAGGGCAGTGCTACAAGATGCAAAGTGCACAGAAGTGCTATTTAAATTTATTGAAGGACATAAAGAAAAATACAGATGTTTTGGGTTTTCCCTTTTTCAACGCATATTGTAATTAAATTAATAAAAGTCTACAGTACATGCAGAAATTGAAAGGATTCCTCCCACCGTATCGCCACCCCAAATTGAAAGTATAAAATGATGCTCCAGTGCATCCAGACACCATGCCTCGGGTGTCCTCAGCCCTCGGGAGGAGTCTCACGAGACTTTTTTACTTCATATGCAAAGTGCATAATGTTGTCAGTTCATAACAACTGTTGCCCAGATACAGATAAACATACACTTGTATCAATACAATAGCAGGCTGCCAAGCAAGTAAAAGAAGATTCAGAAGTCTAAAAATTAAGAATCGCTAAGGAAAATATATTTCGACTAAAGCTGTGAAGCACAAATACTTTTCCAATCCCTGCTATAAATCGGCACACAAACAAGGTACAGGAACACTTTAGTGTTAGGAATTCAAACACTCAGACGTCAGCACAAGGGGGAACCTAATGTACATATGCAAAGAGTGCCAAAGCGCGCATTAGGCCTTCCCCATAGGAAAGCATTGAATCAATGCTTTCCTATGTGGATTTGCAAGACACTGGACTGCTACCTGCTGTTTCAACGAGTTTAACTCCGTGAAACAACGTGGGAGGTTATCACGTTTGCATGAGAACATATAGCGTATTCTAAATCTCTAATAGGAAAGCATTGATTTAGTGTTTTATTATGGGGTAGGCCTAATGTGTGCCTGTATATTCAGACGAAATGAAAGTTTTGGTGGTGCCCAAGGCTAACTTGCACAAAGAGCATACGTGGAATTAAGACTCTGTCGCATGCTTGAGCAGGAGAAGACAGTGACATTACGCCACTACCAGTACTTAGAAGATGGCAGCACGTGAATAAGAATCCGGTGCCGCAATGATTAGCATAGTCATAGGTAAAAGGATGGGATTCTGGAGCAAAGATTTATGGGAAGAGTAAAGTTAAGAGTTTAAAAGTAAGGGGGACGGTAAAAATAAAAAGGTTTGTGCGACAGAACAGTTCTAGTGGTATTAGCATTATGGTTGCAGTTACTGTGGTCTGTATCGGGGGAATTTGATCAACTAAATTAAGTGAATTCAATTGCAATTTGACTGTTTGTGAACAGCCAGCCAAAAAGGGCAAATCTATTTAGAGATTTGCCCTGAGTTTTAATCAGCTAATCAAATGACAGCTGAAGAATGGTAGAGCACGTTCTGTTGAGATAATGAAACTAAATGGACTAAACGTGGTTGAAACAGACAAATGTTGGCAAATGAATGGCATTGCTGCTGTTTGATCCTAGTGTATTGATCTCACTCTGCCCTGTTTATCCTGATTGTCCTTTCAGTAGGCTGTCAAAACCAAATATAAAAGTATATAGCTAAAACAGAGCAGTAGGGGCTAGGTGTTCTAGAGGCTGTAGAAAACAATCTAACGCATGGCATGGTCCCATGCCCAAAACAGTTCCAGAAAATCAGGGCTTGTGGTCGGTCTAGTACGGTTGTTTAAAAACGAACAAACTATTGAACAGAGTCAATAGTCTTACCCTGGAGCTCGATCCCCTTGTTCGTGGGAATGTTTCCATTGAACAGCGCTTTTCCAAGTATTGTGGAACCGACCACAGGCGATGCTGTAAGTCCAGCGGTGTTTCTGAGTTTCTGTGTCTGTTTTCAGTTCCCACGAGATTAATGCCCAAACACCGCAGACTGCGTTCATGTGAACAAGATGACCACCACCTCGTGGTCGTCCATAGGAATTGAGGCCATGCAGACGCATACTTAGAACACTTCGGTGGATATTGCTACAAAGTAGCAATTAGGCTTAACAAGCTCCAGGGTGGTCTCCGGTTTTTGCGGCTGTTCGGTTCCCGAACCAAATATAAAATCCCACGAACCAAGTCTGTTCACATACTTTTTTTTAAAAGGCCCTTAGTCTTTTGGTAAGAGGCTGGCCAGCAGGCCCTTCCAAGAACACGTGACGAGGCTCAGTTCGTCACAATTAGAAATTTCAATTTTAATATTCTTATATATTAAATTGTTCAGAGATCCAGCCCTATACCCTGACCATAATCAAGGTTAACAAACACTGAGAGGATGAAATACAGAAAAACAAGTGATTATAAAACTGAAAAAAAGTGACTGAAAAATTGTGCATTTTGGGTTGAGGAATTCACAAGCAACTTATATCTAAATGGTACTGAGTTAGGGAAAACAAATGCGAAGGAATTGCTGGGAATGGTTATAGATAACAGTCCAGATCAGGGATCAGCAACCTATGGCACATGTACTTTGCATGACACTCAAGGCTTTCGGAGAAAAAGAGGCTCTGGCCTGTCAGGAGTCCCAGTGGGACTTCAGATATTTGCTAGTGCAACCTGAGCTGTGATTGCAGGTGGTGAGGGATAATTCTTAATTTAACATTGCAACACTGCCTCACTTGTGAACGGGAATCTGCATTTGTACAGAGCAGTCTGCAGCAGCTATTGCGGCTCCTGGCCTTGACCTGTACCTGGCCAGCCCGGTCTCCACTGAAACCCAGGGAACACAATACGACAAACCTCTCCCGAACATATACAATAAGAACAGGCCGCATTCACACAAACAACGAGATGCATAAATGTCCAGAGGATAGAGAATCCAATGGGCGCAAAAAGGTTCCATGAAAAATATAGAACTGGTATAATATAGAAATATAAATACATTTTATTAGATATTCAGAGACAGGACATATAAAATATTGCATAAACCTATAAAAAGAGACACAAAAATAAAAAAGAAAGTCTCTACATGGTCTTTGGGGGGTGTGGGGGACTCTATAGTAGACTGGATGGGGTGTTGGCTGGGGATAATGAGAAAGGGAGTTAGGGCACAGTAAAGTTTGTATATGACCTACAGTGAGCTTGCTGTGGCTATACTAAACGGCACCAAAAAAAAAGGAAAAAAAGCCCTGTATATAAGTATCACTGTTATGCATAAAGTCAGTTGAATCAAATGTAACCAGTGTAACGGTGTGTCAATACCAACTGATACCTGGACAAATGTTACAGAGATTGAGTTACTATACCCATTACAGTGAACCTCTTGTGGCTATGATAAACAGCAAATAGGCAATAAAAAGCCCTATAGATCCTCGTCACTATTATGGGTACATGGTATAAAATCAAGAATGTCCGGTGTAACCGTGTCACAACACCAACTGCTACCTGAAGAGACAGAGATTGGGTTTAGGATGGCACTTTAAAAAGAAAAAGAAAGCAGAAGCCTTCTACAGACTAGCTAAATCAAAAGTCCAACTCAGTCGCTAACTGAGAAAAAAAATAAAAAAAAATAATTGGTCTAAGTAGAGAAGGCTAAATGCTGCCAAACACCCAACCTATGGTTGCTGCAAGGTACACCCTCTAACTCCCCCAATCCAACAGCTGAGGTTCCCTCCAATTGCGTCCACACAACTAGTGGTCTAGAGTTCTTAATATTTCCCCCATAGAAACTGCTTAGCTAAATCGTCCATGGCATTTAAGGAGAGCCACTCACCGGGTCTCCTTATATCAGACTGAGATAGCCGGTCATATGATGGCCGCAACCAATTGCGGTTCTATGGGGCGTGTAATGGGTATGCCAATACGACACTAACATGAATTGAATCCCGCCCCCAACGGTGCCTCCCCTTTATCGACACTCACGCCCACCTTCATACTGCATTGACGCGAGGAGGATGGGAGGAGTCTTGACCAGTGGATTCACACGTACAGTAAAAGGGGAGGGGGGAGAAGGGGGAGAGGAACAACCCCAAAAGGACAACCCTTCATGAATTGGGGGACCTAGATAATTATAAACATAGTAGTAGTGGTAATGTGGAATTTGTGTACAGTGGCGCTTACAGAGATAATTGAAAACGTAAAAATAGTCCTCTCAAAACCTGGCACATACAGAATCAATTGGATAAGTATACTGAGTGGTGTGCAAAACCAATCCCAGTGGAAGGTGGAGTGCTCAGAAGGTTGGAAATAACTTACCCCCCTTGGAACTCTTGGTAACCTAAGGGGGGGATAGAGAATAATAGTGTGGAATGTATAAGAACAATGCGAGTGAAATAACTCAATAGTTCTGAGCCTAGCCTGGACAGGCTCACATGGTTCTGAGCCTAGACAGCACAGGCTCAGATTACTCTGTTGCTTATATTCTCCCTCTGGAAAAGTGACAAATGCCAGTATGTAGTGTAATAAGTCTAAAGTACCAATATATGTAGGTGAATAAATAAAACTGCTCACCTTACATAGAGCCTTGAACTCGGCTCTAAGTTAAACAGCACGTGTGTCAATAAGAGGACACATACCCTTCTTTGAATGCAACAGGAACTCTGGATGCTGAATACTGGATGCCACAGGAGAAGGTTTAGTAAAAAATGAAATGTATTAGATAAAAATACAAAATATAGAACAACAAACAATAAAGGTCCAAATAAAAATGTGGGTGGTCCCGAGAAGTGTTTCGCCTTGGTGGCTTTTTCAATCGGTATCTGTGTCTGAGTTCCTGGTCTTCTTTTGAATGGTGTCGGTGGATGTCATTGGTAGATTGGTTGTCGCCCTCCTGATTGATCGCTTATTTAGTTCCGGTTTCATCAACCGGAAGTGACGTAGCGCTGTTATACGTCCTTACATCCGGGCGAGTCCACTGACGCCATTTTACTTAATGGCAAAAAGTCTATATGTACAGAGATAAGCTCCAATAGAGATACGGAGCAAATAAGTAAGGGCAAAATGGAAAAAGAAGGAAAGTTAGGTGTCGATAGTGCAGTTGAGACACATATACAATGTCACAGTTAAAAGAAAGTGTCGCTAAAACATCGCTTTTTTAGAGAGAACTAGCAGCCTTTTCCTATGTGCAACTGACAGATTTGTTTCATGCAAATAGTATAATAAGGTGCAAAAAGTGTCAGCAGTTATATATAAAGAAGTAAATAGAGATCTTACATTATGCAGCAATGACAGTAATAAAAAACATAATAAAATCACTAATTACATATATATACCTCAAAAGATGTATACAAATCTGTTGGAAACACTGCTTGACTCCCTACTTTGCACATGCAGAGCTGTAATTTCAAAATATGTCCTGTCCAGTTACTATTGCCATTATATCTTGCAACAACCCCTTTAAGACGTTAGCCAAATCACAATTTGTAATTTAAACAAATATTAAAACCTAGTGCTCTATAGCATTTTTTTGTAATCGTTTTTCCTTTTTGTGACATTTCCACTTGTTTTTTAAAAATTCATTTTATTAAATTTGACAAAACAAAATAGAGCATGTAGGTTCACCACAAGGGATCCTACAATGCTTCCTGGAGATATAGATAGTAGTATTGCTAAATATAAATATACTATGTAACTATGTAACCTGTAGCGAAGTTAATGTCCTGAGATTTTGCAGTACAGTATTAAAAGAAAACATGAATAAAATAAAATACAATACAATAACCACCTTGTATGGTAAACCTCCTATCTTGAAATAAATATTGTACAAACTCTCACAAGGCTGGCATCAAAATAAAAATGAGCTTTATTAAATGTGGCTCTATATATAAACACAAGTCAGCCCCTGTGAGAACAATTGATTGCTGCAAGGAAAGAGAGGCTATGTGGTCAGTCATTATACATAGCACCAAATGGACCTTCCAGTCAAGATAATGTCAACCTGTATGAGGCATAAAGGGCTATTTAGATGAAAATAGTATATATGCAATACCTCTAATTTCACTATAATATAGTAAGAAAAAGGATTGGTATCCAAATATACTTATCTGAAAGTATTTAGATGAACCCTGTTGGGTGGCCAAGTGACCAAATAGCTATATACAATATAGCTGATAAGAAAAAGATGAAAAATGCTATTACCAGTAAAAGACTGGCAAAAAGTTAAACTGTCAAAGCCTCTCTCCCTGTTAAGCTCGCTAGACAGATATAGGAGGAAAGATCAAAAGTAAAAATCAAAGTAAGTGAACCATCAAAGCAACATGCTAACCATTAGTGAAAAATAAAGTGCCCAGTGATAAAACAAAAAGCAAGAATACCCGACACGCGTTTCGGTGCAGAACTACATGCACCTTTGTCAGGGTCCCAATACAAGGTGGTTATTGTATTGTATTTTATTATTTTTGCTTTTAATACTGTACTGCAGAATCTCAGAGGACATTTACTTCACTACATGTTAATTACTTTATATTTATATTTAGCAATACTGCTATCCATATCTCCAGGAAGCATTGTAGGTTCCCTTGTGGTGAACCTGCACGCTCTATTTTGTTTTGTCTTTCTTGATTATCTAGGGTTATGCCCTGAGGATCCCTTGAATCTCTCTTTGGTTCCTAGGAGCATTGGGAACACTCTGACACATTTCTCTTAGGGTTGTGTTTAAAGTTGTTTCCCTCTGGTATCCTATCTCTATACTTTTTGATTTTATAAAATTTGCTTATTTATTATTTATTTATAGCATAAGGCTGTTGTTTTTTCTGTTTTTACTTGATCCATTCCTCTCTTCCAGGTCCACGCTCTTAGGCAAAGTATTGCGGATCAATGTAAATCACAATGACCATGGTCCGCTATACAAGATCCCATCAGACAACCCATTTATAAATGACCCGTCGGCTCGTCCAGAAGTCTATGCTTATGGGGTGAGGAACATGTGGCGCTGTTCTTTTGATAGGGGAGATTCGCTCACTAAAGAAGGGAAAGGTCGTCTCTTCTGCGGAGATGTAGGGCAGAATAAATACGAAGAAGTTGATATTGTAGAGAAAGGGAAGAATTACGGCTGGAGAGCGAGGGAAGGATTCAGCTGCTACGATAAAAAACTCTGCGCAAATTCCTCACTAGGTAATGACAACACATATAATTCTTTTAAATTCAGAGAGACCCATTTCAGTCCTTTTGTTGCTACCAAGATACAGTATGTACAAAAACAGATATTCACAAACGTGTAAATTGGTATAAATTCCTAGTTCATTTTAGTAGGCCAAAACAACCGAATGAAAGCAATGCTGATCTGTATATTTTATTTTTCATATTCATTATTTTGGTATAAAATTGGAAACTTAGAGAAAAACTGGCTGTGCATCCAGTCCCATTAATCCTAAAAGTGTCACTAAGATGGAGAAAATGATTGAGGTTATTTACTAAACTGAAAATGATGGAGACTCAACAGGATAATTAAATGTTTTGCTCAAAATAGCCAAGTTGGCAAACTAGCTTTACTGAAGTATTTTGGCTTAAAACACTGTTTTCTTGATTTCATTTAAAATTACCGGTAATAACTAATCATGAAAATTAGATTTCTGTCTGCTCTCCTTACATTAGTTTGTTTTCATTCTGTGGCAGAGATTATTCCAATTTTTTCATATTGTAGCAGAGACTGGGCTAACTAGACATTAAATTGCTTGCAGTACACACGGTTTGTACAGATTTTCATACCTGGGAAAAGGGGGATGTAAACACAAGCATTCTTAAACATTCGTAAACAAAACCAAATTAAACAAGCTAGAATTTAGTGCAAGTTGTTAAAAAAAAATACTGCTAAAATATTTTGGAGTGTTTAGAGGTAATATCTGTGTTTAAGACTTGTTACACATCCCAAGAAGACTTGTTCCAAAACTAGTCTAGTCCCATATATAGTTTTGAGATCAAAGGGTTAATAGTGGGATTTTCTCTAAACTGGCTTATTATAGGTAAGTTAAAGTGATCTCCCAGATATGGCCACAATATCCTACATTTTTAGATATAAGAGATGACACCATTCCTGGGGCTCGTGGAGGAGCTTGGAGGTCAGCCTCCTCCCCACGGATTATGGACCATGACCCAGAGCCCTCCCCAAAGGCTATGTGGAACTGTGTATGGCTGAGATTGGGTACCATCTGGGGATATACAATGTTTGGGGGTTTCCCTTGGGAAGGGGAACATTTGTGGTTCGGAATTCCTGGCGCCCTTGTCTGGAAAGAAAGAATTGTATATAACGCAATTAACCAACGGATAATATCATTAGCCTGGGCTGAACTAATTAACTGTGACCAACCCAGACTTGATGGTGCAGGAGAGGGAACTTATTCTGCTAATAACCCCCTGTATTTAACCCTGTATAAATATCTGTGTGTTGTGTTAATAAACCAGTACTTGTTTTATCCACACAAATGTTTAGCTAGTGCATAGGAAAGGGCTATTTTCACAATGATGATTAGTCATGATCTGGGACATAGACAGATACAGACAGAGACACAGTTGAGCATAGATAAATGTTTCTAGACAGATGGGTATAGATAGACAGATATCTGTATTTAACATTACTTACAGTTTTAAAGACGTTTAATTGCACAATTCCACCTACATGTGTCTGCTACTATTTAAGTCTCTTTTCACTCAGTAACATTCCCCAGTATATGCCTCTGTTTCTTCCAAATTACCTTTTTTATTTTATGTCTACATATGTTATTATATAAAGGAGAGAGAGAGAGAGAGAGTGGTTAAGCAGTTATGTTATGTTATCTATCACTAGAAAATTGTATAGAAGAAATATCTTGCCACGTACCTTCCTATTTGTTGCAATCTTTCAATTTTTTTTAGTGCAGTTAGCCTGTAATGGTCAGATTACTGCTGTTTCTGTACCATGGAACCAATTTAAAACATAGATGCAGATCAGGAGGGTAGGTCGGAAGATATCAGAGAGTTATTCTACAAGCCTGTTGTTTTCCATGCATTTTTTTTTCTCCATTCCATCAACATCTGTTGAATATTTAAGATAACCCCACTGAGTTGCTTTATTTATTATTCATTTGAAACATAAAAGAAACGCTTGGCAAGTCAGGAAGGAAGAAGCGTTTTTTGGCAAGCTACCTTGTACAGCACCTGGGTGTATAACGTAGCACATTTTATGCAAGCCTTGTTTTCACTGTCTTACTTTGCCTAAATCAGAGGACCACCTGCTCTTTCTATCTGACCTTCAGAGGTCCTAAAGATGTTGGACACAAGGTCTGGCTTTTTTGGGATCTAAATATATGCATTATATGCGCACATTTATTTTGAGACTAATGCAGATCGTGCCACTCTGGTTCTAATAATTATTCATAAACAGAATAACCAGTTTAACCATAAATTATATAGCCATTCATAATACTCAACTAACTAAGCATTGAGTATTTGAATGAGCCCTACTGGAACTTGAAGTTGCAATTTGCACAGAATTTAAAGACAATATTATTGGCGCATTAACCACTGAACTATCTTGACAGATATGTTTTTGATGTTATGTGAAAGAATATTTATTTTGTTTTCAGATGATGTGCTTCCCATTTTTGCCTATCCTCACAAGCTGGGAAAATCTGTCACAGGAGGTTATATTTACAGGGGCTGCGAATATCCCAACTTGAATGGTCTTTATATCTTTGGAGATTTTATGAGTGGGTAAGTATTTTATTATGATTTTTTTCCAATATCCAATTTAAAGTGAGTTTTGTAAAACTAAATATTCACTTTTTTTACATTTTATTCTGTAAAAAAAATGGTAAGTAACAAAAAAATATGTATACAAAAATTTAAAACATGGTATGCTCATTAAAATAGCAGGCAGATCATGCAATATATAGTGAATACATAATGGTAAACCATGTATTATGGGAATGGGTAAATAATATCAACAATGAGTGCTGCACAATACAGCTCTTATCATGCTTAGCCATACGCTGAAACACTTACTCCCTAGTTTGTCGCCATTTACAGCTGTGTGTGTGTGTGTGTGTGCACGCTATGAGGTGTTATGAAATGCAACTCTCACCAGAGATACGCATATCTTTCACAAACTTCCTCTTTCACTCACACATTCTGCATGGAATTATCTGGTGGTGAATTATTTAATAAGTATATATATGATAATATTAAAGGTAAGGCAAGGCAGATACGAATTGGAAAGACAGAGATAGTTCTAAATCCTTTCTCTCTAACACGCCCATATTCCAAATGCGTGCATCCCACCCAAAGCTGGATTCCATTGTTTTTGTATGGAAGTAATCGCAATACTTTGTGAATATTGTGTATACCACTGACAGGTCCACCTTTAATGTAAAATCAAAAACATAACAGGTTTTCCAACTGGCTCCCCTTTGTAGTGAGAATATGGAACATGTTAACAGGATCACATGCCATGGCAATGGAATAAAGATGTTGCACATTTACTGCAACCGTTATGCAACGAGTGGCTGACAAATCTTCATGTGACCAAAATGTATATATATTTATTTATTTGAGCTTGTGCTTGAGTGCTAGTTGACTACTGGCTGAAGAGGTCTGGTCAACAAGGTCTTATGGATCTTCTCGATGAAGTGCCATGCCCCCTTCTTTTTAACCCTGCAGATAAAAACAGTGTTATTTAGTGGATACTGAAATGTTTATTTTTCAGGGTTAACTTACCTCTAGTGGCTGTTCTCTAGCTATAACCAAGTCAAAGGGACACTATAGTATCCAGAACAACTACAACTTATTGTATTTGTTCTGGGGAGTAGAATCAGTCACTTCAGGCTTTTTGCAGTAAACACTGTCTTTTCAGAGAAAATGCAGTGTTTATATTACAGCCTAGGGCAGAGGTAGGCAACCTATGGCACGTGTGCCATGCATGGCACTCGAGGTGCTTTTGCATGGCACTCAAGGCTGCTAGAGCCAAACAGGCTCTGGCCTATCAGGAGTCCCAGTGAAACTTCAGATATCTGCTAATATGAAAAGGTGGTAAAGGACAATCCTCAATTTATGCATTGCAGTACGTAGAAGAAGTGATCTCAGAACATTCCTCCCAGTACTTGTGAATGGGAATCCACACTGTAGTAGAGCAGCCCTCGGCAGCTATCGCAGCTCCTGCCCTTGACATGTACCTGGCCAGCCTGGTCCCCACTTGAACACAGGGAAGCCACCCACACTGCTAGATATACACATAGCTGCAGAATAACCCTCTATGAGGTGAGGCGAATTGGCCAGGGCTGTGTTTGACTTGTGCTGGCTCTGCACCTGATCTGCCTCCTTGACAGGCTCAGCAAATCCTATGTGGAAGAATTATGATTGGCTCAGACCACCACTTCTGATGATGTCATCAGAAAACAGGCAGATCAGGGGCAGAGGCATAGGATTGGCTGAGACTGTCAAGGAGGCAGATCAGGTGCAGAGCCAGCACAAGTCAAACACAGCCCTGGCCAATCCGCCTCACCTCTTAGAGATGAATTCAGAGATGAATTCAAGATGCAGTCTTGAATACAAGTAAGATTTTACTATATTTAGGGAGGCAAGGGGAGTTCAGGGGAGCTAACTGGTGGTTTTAACACTGTAGGGTCAGGAATACATGTTTGTGTTTCTGACCCTATACTGTTCCTTTAAAATCTGCTATTTAATCAGATGGTCTCATAGTGTCTCACGTGAGGCAGAAGCCTATAGGAATGCACTTATTGCATGCTTTCCTGTGGGGACTCTTGAATGTGTGCACAGCTCAAGCCGCGCATGCGCATCAGGTCTCCCAAAGCTCCTCTATTAGGAACATTGGATTGGACCATCACTGAGGAGGCCTCCACCATGACATCGCTGGAGGCAGAGAGATGAGCATTGCCAATGGAGTCTCATTGCTGGATAGAAGGCAAGTAATACTTTTATTTCACTAATCTCATGGCACACCTTGGGGGACACCTACATAGGACTAGGAATAGGGGCACTATAGCAGGTTTGTACTCCTAAGGCTACATTGTTCCTTTAATATTTCTAGTTTTACTCATTAAACAAACCACAATTAAAAGTATGTTTTGGTGATGTTCACTCCTGTTGAGAATATCCACAGCCTTTCTACAAGAGTCTGATAAATATGGTCATGTCTAAAAATTAAAAAGCTTTTTGGAGGGCATGTTTCTGTTATACAGGGATATACGGTTTTAATTTTGTCAAATAGCCCAGAGGGAGCTATTTTTGGTTTTCATCCATAAATATCCCTAAACTTGCAATGAAATATTTTTTTTCTTCTACTGGCTATGAAAATAGTCAAAAGGTGGAGAAATGTATACTATACCTTCTAAACAAGTGACTCTTTCTGGATGGATATTTTAAATATTGTAAATCAAGAGAGCAAATGGTGTATTTTTTTTTCTCAAAATCTTTGTTGAACTTTTTTTTTCGAGGGCGGGAGATGAGGTAATTATTATTGAGACAAATGTATTGAGAGAGGAAGAATGACAGTATGGAAAATATGACAATTAATTATCTCTTTTAATTTATATATGTCTTTATTCTCTTTTTTTGTTTCAATGTAAGCATTGGAAAATCAAATAAAGGAAAAAATACAAAATTTCGATTAAAATAGTTTCACTTCGGAAAAAAAATAGAATTTAAATTTTTTCTAATTTGCCTATTTTGATATAATCTTGGCAAATTCCATTGACGATTCTTGTGAAATTAAAATTTAGCTGATTTAATTGCTAGCTTATTTAACATTTTGGATTTAATTCACTAATATTCAGAGTTTAGTGACTAATCTAAATAAATGTTATCCTATTTTATTTTTTGTTTAATAGGCGTCTAATGACACTAAAAGAAAACCGTGACACGGGGGAGTGGCAGTACCACGAAATTTGCATGGGAACAGGGCAGACGTGTGTGTTTCCTGGGCTAATTAATAATTACTATCAGTACATTATATCCTTCGCTGAAGACGAAGCAGGTAAGTAATATACATTGACATTTTGTTACCTGAAATAGCAGTAATTACCTAAACAGTAATTTATTTAGTGTGAATCACAGGGTTGTGTAATTACTAAAGTGGCAAAAACCTGATTATATTATCAATGACTTAAAAATGATAAAATATATATGTATGTATGTGTATAGACCTAAATTCACATAGCCATATATGTGGTAGGAAACTTACTAACTTTGAGGCATCTATGTCAAATCAGCCCTGGTCACAGGGCCTTCGTTCCAATTTTGACACGTCCGCAGTAGCCATGCTTCCGAACTTCTCATGCTAATATTGATATAACAGCGTCACCTCTGTAACCATGGTTACCTCCGTTTGGATGCAGGGGTGTGTGGCTATGGGAACAAAAACAAAAGTGAGTTAACTTCTAAATGGCAGGGAATTGAGCAGTGAGACTTTAGACAAACTGCTTCATTAAGTTTTTTTGGTGACTATAGTGTCCCTTTAAGCCCTACTTCATTAAGATCTGGTAATACACCTATCTATCCTTTCTCTCTGTGCCTTTGGTAGTATTGCTGATTTTTATCTTGCTGAGGATCCTCTCGTATCCTAACAGTATGTGTGTAAATCTATCCATCCAGTGAGATGCTTAAAGCGATACACACCACAAAAGAATATCAATAAAAAGCAGGAACGCTGCATCCTACGATTAAAGCCCATGTCCTAAAACAGTAACAGTTAAAAAAAAGTATAGATCAAAGTAGCTGATATTTAAAATATACCAGAGAATGTTAGATCTAAAGTGCAAAATTTATTTATTATTTATAAAATATTTTACCAGGATCATACATATAAATAAAACATTGTAGAACAGTACTTATGTACAAATGTGGTTAAATTTATATTGAATACATATCTAGATTAAATGTTTAAAGGACCACTCCACACTTCCAAAAAAAACCTCTACAGTTTAGTAGATATACCCCCAATGAATACACACATGTATATTTGTATGTATGTATTCATTGTATTCAGTCTAAAAGAGCTTTCAAAAGCTGCAGTTCTTATGACTGCAGCCTTTGTAAGCCCCTCCCCTTTCAGTTTCTTCACTGGGAAATAACCAACCAGAGGTTTCTGATTGAGAAACCTCTGACTTGGTCCCCACGTTCATGAGTGCACCAGCTTGTGCATGTGCGCACATCATTGTGTGCGCGTGTGCCGCCTCGTACAACTGCGTGCACGTCAGGAGCTGAGGAGATGTTCTGAGCTCTTTGAGGCAGGGGGACGCAGGCACGCTCAAGTAGAGCATGCCTACCACTTTCTTTTGCTAACGGAAGTAGGAAGGAATCCTCCCTGGCTGTTTGATTGACAGCCAGGGTCGAGTTCCCTAGTTAATTTATAAAAGTGCTGATTTGTCATAGAAATCAGCACTTTTATAAACTGGGGTTAAACAAGAGTACTCTTCACCCATACAGCACTTCAGCAAGCTTTTGGAGTGTGGCGTGGTCCTTTAATAAATGTTGCAGTTCAGCAATATAAAAAAAGACTTTAACAGAGGAACTGTGTAGGTACCCAGACAACTTAATTTCATTGATGTTCCCTTAACCTTGCAATGTAAAACTGCAATGTTTATATTGCAGGATTAAGTCTACCTCTAGTGGCTGTCTTCCAGACAGCAAATAGAGGCGTGTCCTACTACCTAATGGAGTGTAACTCCAAAAACAGTGTTGGGGGGGGCGGGGCCGGGCCGCCAAGCTGCATGGCAGCAGAGCAACGAGGCTCCAGGGCCAAGCTCCTAAAAACAGCACAAAATTCAGCTATAATCCGCCCCAAAGCGAGATTGCTCACCAGGATGCCAAGGGGATCTACCCCGACTTTCATCCGATACCAAACTACAGCTAAAAATATGCCGAGAGCACCCGGTCGGACGAACCCGGCCTACGTGGCATTTTAAAGCCTGAACATAGGCAGCAGCTTACGGCAGACAGATACCTAACAGCACGTAGGGAGGAACAAGCATGCCGGTTCCAGGAACATTGATGGGGACCCACAAGGGCGAGAGACGCGGCCCGCTCCGCCCCCCCCCCCGGCCGGTGGGGGTGATCCCGGCCACATGGAGGCTGCACGCCCCGGGCTGGACACAGCCACCTAGGGAACATGCTGAACTCCTATACAGGCAAAGGCTGCCTAAACGTAGCCGCCTGACAACTGCACTCAAAAAAAGGGACACATACCATGGAGCACCAGAAGGGACCAACATGGGCGGCTCACACGGGCCCTGGCAGGGCCGGGCGCCGGACAGATCCACCAGGCCGTGACCTCGACCACGGGAGAGGTGTGTACCTGGGCATATGGGTCAGGGGTCCCCGGAAAGCCCAGTCCCTGGCGCTGTGAGCCCGGTGGGGCAGGATTGTGCCGCCCCCTCGACGGACCGGTGGTCGTGAGGGGCGGTCACCGGCTCCAAGTATGCGGCCGGCGACGGGTGAGACGCAGGAACACACTCCTCAAGGGACCCAAACGGTGCCGGGGAGGTGCAGGGAGTGGACGGCCGGAGGACTTTTGTGGTGGGGCCCAACGGACAGTATAAACTCCCGAGTGCCCACGGAACTGTGGGGACCAGACCGGTGAGCGGTGATCGGCATGGGGGTGAGGGAAGGTGACCGGACACCCCAGGGGCAGTGTGGAAGCAGCACCATGAGAGATTCCCTCCAGATAGACACCGAAACTGTGCAGGACGGTACAATTAGATGAGCAACTGACCGAGCAGCAAGGGCATGCTGCTATGTTCTTAATTGCTACCATATGTTTTCCATGTTTCAGTATTGCCTATGTATCTACCTAATTATTGCATTGTATATGTTAGCTAAACATTGTATTGCTACCATATGCGGACCGCAAAATAAGATGCAGAGAATGATCTCTCCTAGCAAATGTTAAAACAAATATGCAAAATGATATTTGCTGAATCTTAGTTATATTACCTGTGTTCACGTAATTTAACCTTTATGCCCTACTAGGCTATGACCGTTCTTACCCGATATAAAACGCACTCGGCAGCACATGCCTATGTCGCAAACTTATTTTAGTTATGTGACCAGTGGCCGCGTAATTTAACCTTTTTTGCCTTACTGGGCTATGACTGTTCTTATTCGATATAAAACGCACTCTATGACACATGCCCATGTCGATGCTACTTGCGACCACGTACTATAGCCTTTTTGCCCTACTAGGCCTTGACTGTTCTTATTCGATATAAAACGCACTATGCGGCACATGCATATGTCGCAAACTTATTTTAGTTATGTTACTAGAGGTCACGTAATTTAACCCTTTTTTTTTTTTTTTATCTTGTTGTTTGTTTATGCATCCCTCTACCAGTATCGCATCAATAGCTAAGGCATACATCAGCACTTGTATTATAGGATGGTCATTTCTTTTAACACTGCATTAGTTTGCCTATATACTTCATTACATGTATTGCATGATCAGCTACAGTTTACCTCAGATTGACGCATTATAGGATGTTGTTACCTTTTATGCTGTAATGCTTAGAAATGTATTCCTGCAAAGTTCAAGTACGCCTATATGCTCTGATCATTACGCCTCTGCGCAGGCGATAATCTGCATCTATTCCTATGTGCTAACATTTAAGCCTCTACGTAGGCGACCGTTCACCTTAATGAATGCTATAACTTACTGCTTAAGCCCCTGCGTGGGCAACCTCTGGCTTTATTACGAACCAGTTCGCAATATGCACTTATATTGTGAAAACAATAAAAATATTTAAAACAAAAACAGTGTTGGGCATCCTCGTGAGGACATCTAATGTCTTCAAATTCCCAACAGAAAACATTGTTTCAATGCTTTCTTATGAAGAAGCTTTAACGTGCACAGCACTTGCAGCGCCTTTGCATTAGGTACCTTCATCCCCGTCACTTAGAGTACCCTGGAGCTGTTCTCCGGGTTCATATCAAAGTGTTAAGGAAAAATTTTTAATAAATTGAGACACTTCATGCTAAGCTGAGACTTGACAAAGATCACATTGTAAAACCGAAATGTCATGTTATGTTCCATTACAAGCCTGCTATCACTTTTAAACTTAAATTGCCTGGACTCGGTGACAGGAGTGGTCTTTAGCCCTCCCAGAGTATTTAGTCAAATCACTCGAGAACAGTTTGACAAGTTACCTGCAGTCTGTTAGGCTCCAGCTGGAAGCTCCTGAACTGAGCTTAACCTGGAAGTATGAGTCCTTCATTTCCTGAGAGCACTCAGCTGCCACTCTCAACCAGTCAACTGGTCATTCACATCAAAGTTTAATCATGGGAAGGGCGCTAAGCACCTAGTGGATCCCAGGTAAGTTGTCAAACCATTCAATTTGACTACTTATCCTGGGAGAGTGCCAGGGCACTTCTTGCAGCTTCACCATTGCACTGTGCTGTAATGTGTATGGTACTCAGAGTTTTCCTTCAACACTGAAGCAGTTAAAAGGTCTGAAATTGATTCCAAATGTGGAATTTTCATTTGGAAGCTGTTGTGAAATCAGTACAAGTAAAACAGGCCAGGATTACACTGAAAAAAACAACAAATCCATCAGACTGATAGCAGAAACATTAGGAGAACAACAATTTGGAAGATTCTAGAAGGAACACATTGGTGAGTGCCTGGACACAAAAGACCTGGATGACATCAGAAGACAAATGTAGATAGATGATCACAAAAGCCTTGGTGGAAAAAAATCCTTCACAAAATCAAGTGACGAATACTCTCCAGGAGGTATGGATATCATTGCCAAAGTTTAGAATGGAAAAAAAAAAGCTACATGAAAGTTTACTGTTTGTCACAAGGTGCAATCCACTGATAGGCCCCAATAACAGGAAGGCCAGATTAGACTTAACCTGAAAACATTTAAAAAGAGCCCACCCATACAAAATCAACCAGGACCAGAAAAATGTGGAGAGAATATTATAAAGAACGTAAAGAACAGCTCTGAATCCAAAGCATGCAACATCATCTATGAAACATTGTATAGACCGTGTTCTGGCATGGGCAGTGTTCTGACTTACCAATGTTTTGAGCACATTTTGCACCTGATCTATTGTTTTAGTCATTGCATCCAAATGATGGGATGGGTGTCAAACAAGTATGAGATGGTTCATATAGAAAATATGTTGAGTATTTTGGTGGGTGCACATTTACAGTTTATTAAAAACCAAGATAGGGGGCGCACTCTCAACACATAAAACAATCTGTGAAAAAAGAGTGAATAAAACATATCCACAATACTTATTCATTCTTGATCCTTTGGTATATATGGCGGAATCCTATGATAAACCTATTAATATAAAACACTGTCCATACATACTGTAAATACTGGTATATGAATTAGAGCAGGTAACAATTAGCTACTCACAGTATTCAGAACCACAAATAGAAGTCTCTGACTCTATAAGCTTTTAGCTATGACTCTGCTGAGTTTTCTATCTGGTCCACTCTCCCATCATGCAGGATTTAAAAAGATTCCAGGTATGGAGGTGATAAAGTGGTTTAATAAAATAAAAAAGTGAAAATATTTGTATAAGCATTACAACAGATAAAGACAAATAAAAAATCAAATTAAATGTCCACCACACATGGAGCACAACACGTATCGACCTGCCTGGGCTTCATCAAGGTGCGTTTACAATTGCAAAGTTACCCAGGACAAGCAATTAGTCACTATCTTGTTATGGTTAGTAAACCTACTTACCTGTTGGAGAAATAGAAACAATTTGATCAACTCCTCAGAAAAATACATTTAACATACATATTGCTTCAAGGTCCTATAAAAAAAAAATAAAAAAATTTTTTTCCCCCGCTTTCATTTAAATACATTTCTAATTTTTTTTTTTTTTTTTGCAAATAATAAAATTACATTTTGAATATTTTTGTAGAAATTGTAACCCTGCAAGAGCTGGTAGCCAGGGTTGGACACCACTGAAAAAAATAAGTCAAACTTGAAATATCAGTTAGTTATAAGTATAAGCTGGAGAAGATTGGGTATATTGAAGTCACAATTCAAATAGAATTTCAAAGTAAAGGCCAGAGTAGCCAAATTGAAAACCTAACTGACTTGATTTTTTTTCCAGTTTGGCTATTATAACCTTATGTTTTTTAATTCACTTTTAATTCTCACTTTAGTAAATAAACGTGTTAGTGTAGTTAATATTGTAAAGCAAATTCTTAGTGGAATGAGCATTTCCTTTGGTAGTCAGCTTTGAAGCGAAGGTCTCTTACTGAATTCATTTGTTCTGTTAGAAATTCATGATGGCTTGCCCCCACTCTCTCTCCTGTTGACACGTGAATTTAGTTTTGTAAGATATTGAGTGACAGACAATACCGGTGAGAGATCTGGCTGTTGTTTATAGTTTCTGCATGGCTTGTTTACGTCAAGCTTTTCAAGCTTCTACTGAAGAGACAAGATCCCCAGACGGTGCAGTGGAGTTTAAAGAATGCTGTTATTATTGTCGCCTTTTAAAGAGCATTGCTGAAAATGCTGATGCTTAGACGGAAGATGTTTAACAGGATGAATGAAGGAAAAACCTATTACCCTTTCCATGTCCCAAAAGTGCAAGGTATTCTTAAAATAGATCAGTCAGAGTCTCAATTCTGCTCCCATTTTGTACACCAGGACAAGCAATATATGTATTATGGATTGTATAATAATGTAATATTTCACAGTTTTCAAACTGCATTCCGCCTTTTCTCTTTTCATGTGGTTTCTTACTGACCCATTCTTCAAATGTTAGAGTAGCCATTTGCTCACAACATTGTACAATACCTTTTATACACTAACCATTTGTTAAAGTGACACTATAACATTATAAATACAAACGTATTCCTAATGCTATAGTTTTCTTCTCACTATTTAGATGTTTTGACTTGCTTATGACTAGGGACTGGTTACTCTGCTGTCGCCCTACTTGCTCGGCTGCGATCATCAGTCCTGACAATCTCAACCAATCCAATGCTTCCTTGTAGTGAAGCATTGGGAGGCTAGTGAGTATGCGTGGCAAAATGCCAATCATATGTTCTATGTGAGCAGACCTTGTTGAATAACCGGCGGACTTAATTATTCAACAAAAGCAAGCACCTCTAGGGGCTGTCATGAAGACAGCCACTAAAGGTGTGTTAGCCATGCAATGAAAACCTTGCTGCACCTACAAAACAGCCAGACTACATTTCATTGAGAGATATACAGGTCCTTTAACTTGGGGTTAAACAAGGGTAGTCCTCACCCATACAGCACTTCAGCAAGCTTTTGGAGTGTGGTGTGGTCCTTTAATAAATGTTGCAGTTCAGCAATATAAAAAAAGACTTTAACAGAGGAACTACACCATATTGAAGCACCTTCACAGCTGCAGCACAAGATAAGAGGGACAAGTTGCCCTTTCCCACCCTCATCAGAACATCTTGTACTCAGTGCAAGCTGAAGGATGTGATCAATGCACCAATTGTTACCGAAGGGCAATGATGGAGATTTTTCTTTTTTTATTATTTTTTTTTAAAAATATTTAGTATTCAAAGTTCCCGTTTCTTACGTTGAACAGATGTCTGCCAGCACAAAGTTGTATTTTTGTTTTGTTGATCTGTTGACATTTATAATAGATTAGGTGCTTGTAGTAGTTGAAGTAACCTACTATCTGAGGAATGGTTAAAAGATTATGCAATGTCTGCAGTTGTTTTCGTGCCTGTGCTCGGCCCATCAAACCACGCTGATTCGTGTCACGGGCTGACATTTTTCTGTGTCTGCGAGTCAATGGGAAGCCGATGCAAGCAACAGGCTCTTGTGTAACAGTTTGTTCTTCTGGTCACAACCCGAATGCAATAAAATAAAATCCTTCAGGGAGAATAGAATGCTGTGCGGATAAAAGACCCTTAGGCGAGCTGAGTGGAATTAATGTCATGAGTAGGCGTTAAAGAAGGAAACACTGAGCTTGCTTGAGGTGCTATATATTATTTTTCCCTCCTCCCCCACCAACAAAAGTGTCTTTTTTTTATGGGGATCTAGGATAATTAAGTTGCTGCATTGTTTAGCTTTTAATAAAATGTGAATATTTTTGGTAATATTTTCCTTAACTTCATTCAGGTGAACTCTACTTCATGTCAACTGGCTTCCCAAGTGCCACTTCTGCAACTGGCGTGGTATATAAAATTGTGGACCCTTCAAGGTGAGAGACGAAATGGTGATTAATGAATTCTGAAACCAAGTTTTTTATGGAACACTCCATGAACCATAATTACTACAGCCTGCTGTAGTGGTTATGAAACTAAGAGTGGCCTTGCCCCCTCCCACGGTAAGTAATCAAACCATTTGAGAAGGGCTTGACAACTTAGCTGGGGTATGCCGGGAACCCACTCTCCAGTTCGAAGCTCCTGCACTGAACTAAGCCCAGCAGTACAAGGAGGCACTCACTGGCTGAAAGACCTCAGCTGACACTCTTAGCTTGTGAACTGGCCCTTCAAAGCAGAGTTTAGCTTAGTGGAACTCCTGGCTCCACACGAGTGGAGACAAGCATCCGGTGGACCCCAGGTAAGTTGTCAAACAATTCAGTTTAACTACTTACTGTGGGGGTGGGGGGAGGAGGTGCTACGAAACTCCTGGCCAGTACAGACGGCTGTAGTGGTTATGGTGCTTGGAGTGCTTAGAATTGAATCCACCACAAAAACTTAAACTGGAATTATTTATTTTTCTTTTTATATATGTCACCCTTTATAAATTAATGTAATATCGCTGTAATCACACAGCTGCCTTCTGAAAGAAAGCGTAGCCAAGGCATTCATGCAAATTAACATACATTTCCCATGGTTCCTATTACATCTCAGGAAAAGTCCACAAACTCAATGAACAAAGAGTCCCCATGATGGTACTTTCAGAACAGCAAGAATCATGGAAAACGTAAGTCAATTTGCATGAATTTCTAAAAATTATTGACATGGTAGCTTCAGTCAGTAGAGACTTGTTTGCTGCTTGTCAAATAATATACAACGATACTTACTGTGAGATAGTTCATCTTATGTGAAAATATGATATTTTTGTTTTTAAATATTGCTTTTTTTTCTGGCTTGTTTTGCATTTTTTGCTGCAAATGTCATATAAAAAAAAAAATATCATATAAAAAAGTTAAATCTCCACAAAGAAAGGCACACACTGGGCTTTTTGAAGAAACGTATTTGTCTTTATTCATAACTCACGGGTTACAGCAAATCGACGTTTCAGTCAATCATAGGACTTTCATCAGATCCTGATGAAAGTCCTATGATGGACTGAAACATCGATTTGATGTAATCCGTGAGTTATGAATAAAGACAAATAATTTTCTCCAAATTTATGTTTTGGCTGAACGAGCACCGTGGCACTTATACTACAAATGTGAGTGCAGGATCATGGAATATATATATATAAAAAGTTATGTATAATTTAATATTTTAAACAAAACCAACACCCTGGCATTCAAACACCAACAGTCCACACCAATGCTCATCTGCAATTAAAGGCCAACACTACACAGAAATATACTGCACACACACATACAAGCTCCATACAAAAGCATGTTTACATTCAAATGCCAAAACACTGTTCACAAATACAACACTGCAAGGATGGGCAAATGGTGGAGCCACAGCTTGCAAAAGATCGTGGGAGTTGTACGACAATTGATGATCCATCTTTGGAACCCCAAAAATGTATTGCGCCTGCTGTGGTATTGCTATGGAGCTGTGTCATACACTCATAATTTGTACACATTATGTGAGCTTAATACTGTGGAGATATGTGATCCACTCATAAATAGTCTACATTGCTGGGAGTTTTAAAGTCTCCGACACACTAATACACACTGCACATCAGTGTGAGTACGCCTTTAAATAAATAGACCATTTTGTTGTGTGTCTTGTATAAGATTAATTTTTTCCTTTTAACGGAATATTAATGTTTGCAGACACAGATCCTGGCTCTGTAATGTACAGAATTTCTATGTGAATGCTAATGTGTTTGGTTATTTAGTTCCAATAAAACATTATGAATCCCTTATCTACCATTATGGCTCAAATTGTGCATGGATGAAAGCCTTAAATCATTAATGTTCTCTAATTAAGAATACATGCCAGATGAATAGTTTTAATATTCTGTCTCCAGAATCTCTGCTCTTAATGTTTGGAAGGCTTTCCCTAATGCCTCGTTTACAGTATCCTAGCTGAAACGCTGAGATCTCCTCTGTGTCTCCACAGGAGAGCGCCGCCTGGTCGATGTCGTTTCCATCCTACGCCGGTAAAAGTGAAAAGTGAGACTACCAAGTTTGTCCCAAAAGAAAGTAAGTTTTGAGAATGTAGTAAAATGAAAGGTGAAAATTAGCCAAATTTGACTCTATTGACAGTAGGTTGAACCATATTTGATGGAAAACTGCAAGTTCCAAAATGTGTTTCCAGCCTTAAAGTGGCATCCCTCACCAGTGCCAATAAGTATTTTATAAAAATAGAATCTTGATAAAATACTCATATTGGCCGTATGGAATTTCATTGAAATTCACACCCAAGCACAAAATATACTGAGACAAAGTAAAGACTACCTTGTCTCAGTACTTTACCTTCGTCTGACAGAAGGATGAGTTACTTTTGTCAAGATTGTCATTTCCCTAAGCCGTCACCAGTGATGGTTGTAGGGGAAAAAAATGGTCTTGCGGGATCCTCCATAGACCTTATGTGAGACAGTACAGAACTGATGTTGGTTCCTGGCATCTGAGCCAGGCTTTTTCAAGCCCTCAGCCATCAAACTCGTTGTCTATGGAGGCTCCTGCAGTCTTGAGGGTTCCTCCATAGACATCAGTATTTAACTCTTTCGCATATGCAAAAGTGCTGCACTGACTTGGGCTCCTGGCAGATGATCCCATGTAAGAAGATGCCAGTGGCCACTAGGGATAGGTTTAGGTATGTAAACTCCCCATGGCCACTGCAATGCAAAGTAACCATCAAGGGTCCTCACAAATTATGCAAAGTCCCGGAGTACCAACAGTTCCTGTTTTATTCTGGTCCTGAAAGTCATTATATAATTTATTATATATTACAGTATATTATTTTCTTTAACCTCTTACCACCCAGAATACATTTTAATGTTTTATGACTTCTTGAAGCTGCAAAAGAGTTTAATATTTCCTCTGGTTCACTTTAAAATATTATTTCAGTGGTAATAATCTAATTTAACCAATTTTAGCTTGATAATGTTTGTGTATATATTTTAGATTGGGTTGTACTGTGTTATTAGGCTGTAAATAATAATAATAATTGGTGCCGCCCAAGAGTAGTGTGGGTTTGCACGTGCAAGACTTAATTTTGTGTTTTTGTATTTGCTTTTGCCATACACAGCCATGTTACAGTGCTACCACACCACATATGTTTTCAAATTAAGGGTAAATGTGTGGGGGTTCATAAGAACACTCCTTTCTGTTTCATAAGAGCTTTTGCCTTTTGACTAAAAGCCCCAACGTAAATTGTTAGTGTAGGTTTGCCTTTAACATGGCAGATAAGCTTACACTTTAATGGCCATTAGAGTTAAGCCAAAACTTCGGCTTATTTACATGTGCTTAGAAATTTAAGATAGTGTGTACAGGTAATTATAACAACAACTTGTTTATTTAGCATGTGCCTGTGATTTTATAATTTATGCATTTTTTGTAGACATGTATTCATTATCTTACTGTTGTTTAAATATAAACTCTGTGTGTTGATGAAGTATGTAACAGTATTGATTTCTTAATTTATAGAACTAATAATAAAAACAGCAACTACAAAACGCCCCAAAGTGAAACCTACTGTCAAAACATCTGGTAAAACGCGAACAACTGCACAACCTCCAGCAAGCTCTACGCCTGACTGGGTGGTGGAGCTTTTGAAGATACTGAGGTCACCCGACAACTCCAAGGCACATCTACCCACAACTGCCCGCCCAACCACAAAAAAACCTCCAAGGCCAAAGAAAGGTGGAAAGAGCGGTGAGAAGAGAGGCCAGAAGAGGAAAGACAAAACGAGTGGACAGCATTCAAGACAAAACTCGTCTGAAGTTCGTAATGGAGCAGTGAGGTTGGCCAACAACCAAAACAAGCAAGACCGTGGCAGGGTCGAGATCTTCATCAATGGAGAATGGGGTACAGTGTGTGATGATTTATGGAACTCCAGAGCTGCAGCTGTGGTTTGTCGGCAACTGGGATTCCCATATGTTGTGAAAGCCAGCAAACAAGCAGAGTTTGGAGAAGGACAATCTCTTCCCATACATCTAGATGATCTTGAATGTACAGGGAAGGAGAAGACTCTCCTGGACTGTAAACACAAAGGGGTTGGAAAACACAACTGCACTCACAAAGAAGATGCTGGTGTTATATGTAGTCATAAAGAAAATTGATGGCTTTCAAATAGAATGCTTGTAATTTTTTGGGTAATGATGTTCACCTGTAATCGCATTGTCTCACTCTGTTCATCAACATGTCTGCATCATGGAAAATGTAGACTAAAAGCATTCACACTCACTCTTTGGTCTAAGGGACTATGTTATTGAGCAGCGATCTACATCTATGGTAATTAACGATATAAACACAGTTGTGTTATTTTTCTCCAATTTGGTTTTTCATTTCTCCAGGTCAATTTGTAACATGCAGATTTTAGTACGTACATTGAGGCTGTAATAACATTTAAGGAATTTATAATAACTTTTAATGCAATGTAAATATCAGTCAAGAAATGTGTGAATTTACCTTAAAATTATATTTTTTTTCTGTACTTTTCATTTGGATAAAATTCTCACTGTTTTCAGATGATGGACAAACAAAAAAATGCCAGACACCGTTTATGGCCTGGGTTTTACACTGTGACTGACAAGTAAACTGATGGGTTTTATTTACAAACCAGAATGTGTGTGAATTGACAAGGGTATTGATTGCAAATTCTAGACCAAAACAACCTAACTGGAAAAAAGTGGAGTCTGAGCATAAAGCCTTAATTTGTTTTGAAATTAAATAATAGAGCTTTTAATTGGTTTTACGGCATAGCACACCAAAGGCACCACATTTTTTTTTGTAATCTGTAACTTTTTACAAAAAATTAAATATATGATTATTAATATATTTGAGCAGTCACTTTTTAAAAATGTTTTTGAAATTGCTGTATAAAAATGCTCTACGATTAATAATGCAAACAGAACTGTACCAAGTGATAGCATATAAGAAAATAAACTATATAAATAACTAACTGATGTAGATCCAATAGAAATTGTCAAATAGAAAAGTGTATAACATTACCAGTTTGTTATTCGTGACTGTTGAGTTTGGGATGGAATTTCCAATGAGTTGCGTGTTAACTCTTGTACACATTGAAGAGCAGAAGTGGATCATAGGTCTTTCAAACAAGTTCTTCTGGTCATATGTGGAATTGGAAGAAAGGATTGTCGTAAAGCCGCTCTTGCAATCAAGGGCATTGATAGGTAACAGAAAGACCTGGGCCATGAGCCCAAAGCAAAACTTGATATAATAAGAGTGTTGGATATGTCATTAGAAATTCCTGCTTCTTTATTTTATATCCCTTCCCCTCTACCCAGCCATGAACAGTGTGATGCTTATGCTATTTATGAGCTCAATGAAAGCATATACTGCACAACTGGGTATTTAATGTGACTCCCCCCGCACCCCACTGTGCTCCCTAACTAATATAGGGGTGTGCAGAAAATTAGTGTTCTCCAGCTACCAACCCCTCCTCACCCTGTTGGTAACAGCTTCCTGATGTAAAAAGAAAATGTCAGTATTATCTTGCCTCTACACTACTCGTAGAGACGACAGCTAAAGAGTCCCACATCCACGGCTTCAGCCCTAAAGTCACTCCACTAGCAGCACCTATGTTTGCAATCATCATGTTATGTCACAAGACAACAGCATGTTTAAAAGTTTAACAGCAGATTTCAAAATGCAGGAGAAGACTGGGCACTAGGACCATGCATGGAGCTCTCTAACAGCGCTCTGCGCATGGTCTGCTGGAGGATGCAAGTTGTCAGTCAGCCGGGCCACCCTCTTTAGAAATGGACATGCCCATTTGGCAGGCTGGACCTCTGCTCTCTCGGTTGTGTGAAGTTGGGTCCCTACGGTCAGCACAAAGAAAAAATTCACTGAGTTTTCTTAGTGCTATGTTTATGATATTTTGTGCCCTAAAATTTAAAATTTGTGCTGCTTTTAGTATTATAATAGCAATTGTTTTTTTAAGTTGTTCCCAATTTAAATAATGGTCACCCAGTCACCTACAGTAGCCAAGAAATATAAAAAAATACGGGTTGGTTGGTTAGTGCTGCATTTTTGCTAGTTTCTGGTTTGTGCAACTTATATTTCCATTCTATCTTATTTAGTTTTTGAGTTATTAACGATTTAATAAGGTCACCAAAAATCACCCAGCACTCCTAAGACTACCCCAAAACATGAAACTGGGCTGGTTGGTTAGTGCTGCATTTGTGCTGATAAAATCTTTATTTGTGCTGCTTTGTTATTTTTTTTTAGTTATAACAGTTTGCTTTTCAGGGAAAATTACGTAACCTGCCATCCAATTGTAAAGTTAAAATGTGTTTTTAAAATGTGAATAAAAATATACCATTAGTGTGTTGCAAAAAATGAATATTTTTGCCTGTTTGGTTTTGGAGATATTGCTCATTATACATGATCAAACTCCACCTACTTTGCACCGAACATTATTACATTTTAAAATCAAATATACCATGTATTTGTGCTGATTTGTGCAGCAAAAATGAACATTTGTGTCAGTTTCTTTTGGATATATTGCACGTTATATATGACCAAACCCCATCCACTTTGCACCCCACATTATTACATTTTAAAAACAAATATACAATTTATTTGTTCTGCATTTGTGTACTAAAATATTAATTTGTGCTGCTTTGGTTCTTTAGTTGGAGCAGTTTTTCTTTCAGGGGATTTCATGTAAAACAGCCCCCAATTTGGCATCGATTTTGCCCCAACCTTGACAAATTACGCATTTATTGGCCCTTAGAAGGAGGTAAAGTAAACTTTTAAATCAGCACTTAAATTGGAATATAAATCTTTTTTTCAAATTTTAAAGCTTGAAAAGAGAAATGAAAGTCAATTGAAATGCTAGATTTTTTAATACCCTTAATGATATGATGCTATTTGTGATAATTTTAATGAACTTTCATTGCTAAAGCAAAATTTGCTAAATTTGCTAAAGCAAAAAAAATTTACGGCATCAAGAAAAAAAATGCATTTTATCAATGATCATCATTTTTCTCGCTTTGACTGCCTGTTTAAAAACAAATAATTTAGTGATTTTGTATTCTATACATTGTAAAACACATACATTGGCCTTTAGCAATAGATGCATAGGTATGCACACAGGATTTGTTGGCACACCCTAATCACCCTCATACGCCCAAACACTGCTCCAAGGGGGTGCTATGCCACTCCCAATGCCAGTGGAGATCGCCCTGACTGGCCCCTAGCAACTCTGTGCAGCCAGGGGGCGTTGCATCACTCAACAAAATTAGATATTTATCCAATGTTGAGCAAACAAAATTGTGAAATAAGACAACAAAAAGCATGTGTTACCACCAGACTATAGTGATACTTTTTCTAAACCAATTTCTCAATTTTCTTAACCAAGTAAATCTTTTAATGGCAAAAACACAGCATAGATAAATGATAGATTGTTTTTTTTTAAATTTAATAAGGTGTGGACTGTGGAGCAAAGTGCGAGGAGTTACATAATGCTTAATATCTCCAAAAAGGAAACTCGCACAAATGCACAATATTTGTTTTTAAAATATAATAATGTGAGGCACATAGTGGGCAGAGTTTGATGAAATATAATGCCTAATATGTCCAAAAGCAAACCGGTACAAACATTAATGGTATATTTTTATTCACATTTAAAAAACATGAGGTGCCAACTTCACTCCGCTGAGTTGAAACGGATGGTGGGCTTAATTTTCCTTGACAAAAAACTGTTATAACGTAAAACCAAGGCACCACAAATAACAATTTTAATGTCACAAACCATCAGAAATGCCACACCAGCCAACCAGCGCAGTTTCATCTGTTTATCTCTGTTGTAGGGGGTCTAGGTGATCTGTGGGGACCTTTATTTAATCGAAAATAGCTCCAAAAAACAATTGCTATTATCTTTAAAAAAAAAAATGTAATTTATATATGGTTTTACATTTTATAACATGGTAAAAAAAAAGTATAGAATTCAGGTTGGCAACACATGCAGTTGGTTTGCACATGTTTTTCTCAGAGTTAGAATGCACAAGATAAGTCTTACAATCCATAGTTATAAGGCCATAGGTAAATAGCTGATAGCATCACACATCTAGTTTAGATATGTTGCATTGAGCTAAGGGTCCCCATAACGTCCTTAAATAGGGGATTGTGTGTTAACGTTTGATCAAACCTATAACGGATCACCTGGCACCCCGACTGGGTACCTCAGTTGAAGGATGCTCCTAGCGCTTCCTGAGGACTCCAAGCACTGCATCAGACACCACAACCACCGAACCGGAGAAGCATATGAATGCTCTCAAGCATTGAATGCTGTAAGCAACTGAACAGGAAAAGCATACAATCAGCTTACACTCCTGGCAATCAGCATACAATCCAATTCCCCCAATAACGAGACAACACTTTGTTTTGAGGCCAAGCAGAACTGACTGTACTGGCACATACAGCCTCTTTTATTCACAATCCACAAACATAGTACTGCCCACAGGGTTTTGAAATACAACCAATCAATCCGTACAATACACACAGACACTACCACACAAAATCCTCCCCTCTGCCTGTGATATGATTACTGAACACAATGGTTAATATAATTATCACAGGCAGAGAAATACAGCATTAAAAAACATATCACAGGGACCCCAAAACATGCAATAACCCCAAAATTCACCCAGATCTGTTCAATAGTTTGGTAGATACAGTTTAATGCAGATTCCGCAGAACATATACAGGCTATATGAAAAATAATTACTGTATAATGTGTCCCCTGTTGTATAGTTTAAAACTACTGCACAATGTCTTTGTGCACCAAATACCGGCGAGATGGCACCGTGTAGAAAAGTCCAAACAGTGTCTGTGAGTTAAAATGGCCGCCATCCATTGTTCTCATCATGTGCTTCATCCATTGTTCTCACCATGTGCCTCTGATACATGAAATGGTGCCCCCCCAGTAACTCCACAGTTTGTCTGGTAGTCTATCCAGCAGGACCAACAGATGAAACACATGGGGAACAGTGCAACAAATGAAGGGAATCATAAAAAATATGGTCAATAGTCATATTTGTACACAACCTCCAGTTTTGTCACAGGGCACAAATAGTGTTTTCAAATGTCATATATTCCAGGGCCATAGTCAGAAGGTAGGAGGCAAATAGTAGAGGGGATAGGAGGCACCCCTGCCTCGTTCCATTGAATGTCTTGAATCTCAGAGGCAAGATATTGGGTAAGAATAAGGCTCACTGGGAGCATTGATAACTTGCCTTGAGAACGGATGAAAATTCAGGTGGGAACCCAAGCTGATTAATGGTTCAAAACAAAAAGGTTTGCACACAAGGTTATAGTAAGCGCTCAACTGATAAGGGTGTTTGGTGAAACATGCAGTTATGAAAGTGTTGGGTGCTCAATGAGAAAAATCTATTTCCCCACCAAGTCCAAAAATCTATATAATAAATAAATCCCAAAGCACTCCAAGAGTAGGTTATATAAGAAAGATGTAATTCATTTTATGAAACAGTAAAACCATGCAAACAAAGTACAAGTATACAGTACAGGCATGCAAACAGTATGGATCATACATATAACCACATGAACCTCAATATAAAGTGCTCATAATATAAACCCATTTATAAATATAACCACAGGCATACTGATCTAGAGCAGGATATACTAAGTATCCCAACGTTTTGGCACACAGCCTTCCACAAGGGAGATTAGATATGTGCAATTTCTTTCGGTCTGAATTAAAATTCGGCTGAATTTCGGGCAATTCGGACATTCGGGTGCCGAATTGCCGAAGTCCCGAAATTACTGAATTTCCAAAGTGTAGTAGTGCCGAAGTGCCCAATTGCTGAAGTGACGAAGTTCCGAAGTTGCAGAAGTTCTGAGGTGTCAAAGTTCCGAAACACAGTATTGCCTAAGTACTAATATGTACCCAGTGAAAGAAGAAGAATGTTACATTGTATACAATTTTAAATAAAAAGTATACAAACATAGCCAGAATTCAGCTGTAAGCATTTGCAACACTTACAACAATCAAGTAACATACATTCATATAAAATGTAAGTTACTTAGCCAGTCAATGTAATGACAGGAATGAATAAGTAGATAACTCCCTAATTCCCACGGTATTTGTTTTTTTTTTAACAGTGAGCAGGCACAGGCTGCTCACTGTTTAATAGAGATGCCCCTACTCGCGGTATAGCGGCAAAATTTACTAATACTAAGTAATTTTAGATAGAAAAATTTAAATATATAAAGGGAATCAACACATCCACATCTGCCTGACCAATATACTCAGATGTAAGGTCTATTAAATCCCCAGTCTCTGGTACTTGCTGCTGTGCAGAGTCAAACAATTGCCTCTAATCCAATTCAAGCTTCCGCTCCATGGTGGCCAGATGGGTCAAATCAGGTTCCAGGTCAGCTACTTCTGAGAGATCCAGTAAGTGTTCCCTATTTTCCCAAATGTCACAAAGCCAGTACCTCTCAGGACTTCTGAATTCAATTTTATCCTCAAAGGCCTCCCGCAATAGGCTAGGGCCATCATAGTCCTCACCCTCTAGAAGGTTGTCATCCTCTAGAAATGGGTACTGCTGGACTGCATACCACCTTAAGGCCCAGTAAGAATCATCCAGAAACAATTCTTTTTGGACCAGCTCCTCTAATTGGAAACCCATTCCGCAAGGGGCTGCTCCCCCAAGAACGAAATCTGCAAATTAACTTGATCCCAAAATAGCTGCAAAATGGTCGGGACGGATTCTCCCAGAGACCACAAACCTCCTCAAGGACATTGTTCCAGAGTTCCCGTTGGATCGTGTCGCTCTGGTCCAGTTCACTCTTTGTTAAGAAAGGGCCATTGTACTGGGACAGAGCTGCTTGTAGCCTCCGCTGAAGCTCCTCCTCGGATGGGAATGCTGCATGGGTGCTAGCTCTATCCATCTCTGTGAATTGCAGAAAGCACAGTGAGATCCCAGAAGATGCGCCGGTGTTCTGGGACATTCCCCAGTTGCTAAAAAGCCATCCCACTGCTGCCACCAATGTAACAGAGCTCCAGTACTCCGCCAAGTCTGTTTCCTCATAGCTATCAGTGACCCTGGATCACTTCAGACCCAGTGGCCGAGGCTTGACTGGGATCACTGAGGGTCTTTTCAACCCTGGACCAGGCTACTGTGTTTATAGCCCTGGACACACACATCAGCAGATTTCCCCAAACACCAAACAAAACATGGTGAAGAGCTAGAGGTCCTCTGTCCTGATGCTAGTTGCTAGTAAAACAGCAACTAACTTTACTAGACATAGCACACATATTTTCAGTCCCCAACAGCCTTATTTACATACAATAGGGTGCATAGAGCAGGGGTGGGGGCCGGGGGGGACAATAGGTCCCCCTTATTGTTATTAGGGCCCCCACCCACCGCTCAGGGGTGGAAGCCACGGGGGGACCAGTAGGTCCCCCCCTTATTGTTAATTTTAGGGCCCCCACCCACCGCTCAGGGGTGGGGGCCGGGGGGAGGACAATAGGTCCCCCCCTATTAGTAGGGACCAGTGCAATGGCTGCTGTCAGTAGATTATCGATTTTTTGTGCACCAGAATATGATTATACAAAAATGTAAATTTGCATGTAGTGTAATGATATGTATGACTAAAACTCTGATTGCAAATTATGACATATATTATAAAGTAATTTTAATGGGAATAAAACTAGTTATATACATGTATGCTAGAGCACAGAAATTCTGTAAATTAGGTATATGTCTATCAAATAGTTAAAACTATAAATACCTTTACCTTAAGTAGAGAATGTTCCATGTTTTTATGTGTTTTTTAGTGATCACATAGGTATGTAACCAATTCAAGTAATCCATGTCAGAATCTTAGAAATTCCTTGTTAATTGGACTAACCATGTGATCTGTTAATTGATTGATTGAGAATTACCCTCCAATAAAGGAAAACCATTACAGACCCTGGAGTGTTGGCTGTGTTCCTTGTTGTTCACCTTTGACTTCTGCAGATTGCGGTGTCTGCTCTTTCACAGAGCACGTTCTAGGCATTTGGCCGGATCACTAAACAGAACCTGAGTGCGGACTGAATTGTTTCTAGTGAGTGAGTGTATGTCTGTCAGTGAGTTTCTGTGTGTGTGTGTGTGTGTGTGTGTGTGTGTGTGTCAGTGAGTGAGTGAGTGTGTGTCTGCCAGTGTGTGTCTTTCAGTGAGCAAGTGACATGAGAGGGCGGCAAAATGGATCTTTACCTAGGGCGGCAGAAATTCTTGTAGGGATTTAATAATAATCAATTAATAATCCAAGGTACAAAACCACCAAATGATACCGCACTCAAGAAAGAAAATGTATATGAATATAAATGTATTGCCACAACTTAATAAAATTGGAAATAGTACTCATCTATCCTGTGTAAAGGCACCAAAGGCATGATGATATTCCTATTCAATGGTTTGCTCACCACTATAAAAGAGTAGAGACAGAGTATAAAACACTTAGTGTCAGATCACCAAAAATATAGTCTACCTATACACAGCTCAAGTACAAGAAAGAAGGTACAGTGCTTGATATACCTATACAATTAGTCTGAAGTGCAACACAAAACAAAATATATACAACATAAATACAAAATATACAATACTGCCTGCCAATTATCTTCTGATAAGAATAGGATACTCTGAGACAACAAAAGGGGGTATATAGATAATATAATGGGGGGAAAAACCCTTGTAGAATCGTCTTATAATCTTAAGGAATATCCTTATCCTGAGTATAAAGATGTAAATCCCATGAAAAAAAATATATCAAAATATAAAAAATAAATAAATAAAAAATAAATAAAAAGCAAAATCTGTAAAAAATAAATAAATAAAATGAAAGAAATAATCTATATAAGAAAAATAAAATTCTGGGATAAAGTCATGGTTTGATTTCACTACAGGATGGTCTGGGAGGCCTCCCGGTGAGTTGTAGATGTAATGTAGATTCCTTAAAGTGCAGGAAAAAAGGACCCAAAGTTTCCAATATATTTGCTCAGTGTAAGTATCCTTGGGAAATCTTCTTTGAGCCAGCAGGGTAGAGGTCAAGGGAGACCTTGGATGGTCCCTCTAGGTCAGTTAGATAGAGGCAGGTAAATCTGGGGCTGCGCGCTCTGGAGTTAATCCCTTCAAATGGCCAGCTATTTTCGTTTTAGTCGTATTTTAGTCAGAATTGTTTTAGTTTTAGTCTAGTTTTGGTCGACTTAATTTAAAAAATTTTAGTTAACTAAAATTTTACTAAAATTGTTAATCGACAAAATTAATACTGATTCCAGCTTTATACATGTTTGTATTCTTGACACTATAATGTTCCTTTAATGTATTCGCTCCCTTAACAATTCATTGGTGAACTAAATTCACCCCCAGCTACTGGTGTTATATGGTTATGAAATAAAAAATCATCACATTTCTATCTGACCATTCTTCCTAGAAAAACAGATTTATTTTGAATGAAATAATATGCAAATATTATAGTAAAACAGGAAGATGAACACGTGACAGTTGCCCTACAGTGTTGGCAGATAAATGTTAATCTACCATGAAAAAGCCCACAGTAGGATATTGCGGAAAAATGTTAATTTAATGTTTATGTAATAAGGTTATTTTCTTTTAATGGACAAACCAACACCATATTATATCTGTAATTAGGTTTTATAAGAATGAACATATAAGTGAACATATTGTTATTGAGATTTTATTATCTGTTTCTACAAATACCAGCGCCTTGGCATCTATTTGGTGCTGTTTTTATCTGACTTGATAATTAGATGTAATTATGGTATGAGTTCTACAAAATTAAGATTTGACTATAAACATAATACAAAAACTCAATGGTGACATCTTGTGTTTAAATAAGGTATTTGGCTTATTTCTACAGAACAATATTCCTGAAATCAGGTGTTTGAAAGAAATTATGGTAAATACTACACAGAGGAAAAAAAAGTAATTAAAAATTAAACAGCTAATAGCAGCAAGGTTAGACCAAAACAGCTAGATTTCTTTTACAGCAGAGCTGGAGATATTTTTCAAATCAGTACTTTTAGCAGTTCCATAGGGACACTGTACCCAGACCACTTCAATGAGCTGGAGTGATCTGGGTACCTATAGTGTCCTTTTAAGAGTTAATTGTTTTTCTATACAGATTACATGTCCTGTAGTTACCTGTCCAGTCCTGACTCTGACCAGCCACTATTAAATAATGATTATCCAAATACAATGTTGCCCTCTAATAGGAATTGTTGCAAAACATTTACCCCACTATAGTGTACTTTATTAACAGCCGCAGTGCCGAGCAATGTATCTAGGTATCATATATACAGGGGCGTACCTAGAGCATTTGACACCCAGGGTTGATCATGTGTTTTGCACCCTCCCTCCTCTCCCCGTCTTTAAAATGTAGAAAACACCCACATATGTTTTAAATGTTTTCAAGAATACACCCCCTTCCATAAATAATACACCCCCAATTCACAACTAAAACCCTGCACCCCCTTACATAAATAAATACACACACTTTTTTTGTAATTCTATATTTTTATAGTGCTTTGCTGTTAACGTAGTAAGTAAATAATACCATCGATACAGAAGGGAAGACATACACATATTTATACATGGTGTGAACAGAGCAATATTTTACATGAGTGTTGATCTGGGTCCTCGAGAGGGGTGATTGTCATATTGCCAGGGTGTGTGTGAGAGTATCCTCCGAGGTTTCCTTGTGTGATGTGGGAGTAATGTGTGTGCAAGTGAACGAAGGTTGTAGCATTATTGGTGCATATGGGGAGCGTACTTTAATGAATATTGTACCTCGTACTGAGGTGCGTGATGTTAGGGAGAGGCTGAGAGTATGTTTAGAGATCATATGTGAGTGCTAATGTTTAGTCATGAGTATTAGTAGAGTGTGTGTCTTGTCTGTAGGTGCAGTTACTCCTAACCATGAGGGTGTCGGGCGGGGGAAGTAGTGGAATGGTTGGGAAGTGGTCTCCAGCTGTCGTCAGTCAGTCCAGGTGAGGCTGCCTCAATGTCCCGTATCAGGTGTTGTAGTTATCGGCTCCAAGTCCACCTAATTGGGGGAGGTGAGTAGGTAAAAGGAAAAATAAGGTAAAGAGTGAACAGTAACGTTTCTAAACAAGCATATTAGACACAGGTGCATGTGAATTGCAGTTAGTCCAGCTGTGGCAAGTGCCACAATTCCCCAATTCCCCAATGCTGTGTTCAGGTTACTGTGGTCTCCGACCCTCTGGCTCTCGGGACCAAGGGGGTGATGGTATGGATGGGCTGGATGAATCCAGATTGTAAGTAGAGGTGCTTGGACTGGCAGTGTTGGAAGGCCTGGCTTGGGTCTCGGGTAAAGCTAATTCCTCGTCTTGTTCTGGGACTTGGGTAAAGAAGAGGACTTTAGTTATGAGCCTGTGTCAACTGGCCCTAGCTAAGCCTAAGGGGAAAATTAACTGGCCTACGAGGAAGATGAGACCCTGCTAGTGCAAGGTGGCGAGAAAGAGGCTCTATCTATGAGGAGGGCCGAGTGGGTGGGGGCCACTGAATGATGGCCTCTAAGTGACAGTAACAAGATACAATATAAGTGGGCGTGACTTGGTGAGGACCTGACTAATAATCGACAGTGGTTAATGTGAGGCTCTAACTATGCGTTGGGCCAAGGGGCATATACCGCTGATGAGGATGGGTGCTGGCCTGATGGGAGTAGTAAGTAAGTAAGCTAGGGACAATGCAAGTAACTCAACGCCAGTTGACCAATCCTAGCCTATAACGGGATGGGAGTGAGATGTAAAATGGAGACGTACCTAGCTTTACAAAATAATTAAGATTCTTTACAGACAAGCATGAATGCTTGAGAACCTTATAAAGGAAATGTGGAAGGTTAGGTCGTAGTTGGGCCTAATTCTTATCCCCGTATTATGAGTGAAACCTGTGTAATGACAGTGATTCTGTCAGGATTACTGTTTGATCCAGCATGTAGAACTGTACAGCACGGATGACAAATAAGTAACGTATTACCGGTCCTTAGAATGGCCGGATTTAACGTACAAAGAATAGTCAAAAATACTAGCCGAGGTCAGGGAACACAGAAAGGGACACAGCGATGAGGAAAGCCAGGAGTCAGGATACCAGAATATAGAGAAGTCAATAAACAAAGCCAAAGTCAAAAACCAGGTAGAAAACTATAAACAGGAACGCGCTCTCAGACAACCACAAGGGAAACCACGACAGGGCACTGAGCAGGCTGAGAACTGGGCCTAAATACCCCTCCTTTAGTTCTGATAGGCTGTAACCGGCCTTTGACCCCAAAGTCAGTTACCAGGTTTCATTTGCATAATTGCTGCTCAGCATTAACCCTTCTGTGGATTAGGTTGCTGCTCGGCACAACTTTTCCTGTGTGGACAGTAAATGTCATTAACCACATTTCTATAAGCGGATGAATATGTGACATTACCCCCCACCTGAAGAACGCCCACCGGGCGGACAGGACCAGGCTTGAGAGGAAATTTAGCGTGAAAAGCGCGGATCTTACGGCCTGCATGCAGGTCAGGAGCCGAAACCCAAGAACGATCAGCAGGACCGTAACCTTTCCAAACAACCAAGTACTGTAAAGTGCCCCGAGAAAACCTAGAATCCACGATAGAAGATACCTCATACTCTTCCTGACCACCCACCACCACCGGAGGGGGAGGAACACAAGGAACAGTATATCAATTGCAGACAAGAGGTTTGAGTAAGGACACATGAAAAGTGTTGGGAATCTCTAAAGATGCAGGTAGAGCCAGAGAGTAAGACACTGGATTGATCCTACGAAGCACTCTATAGGGACCAAGGAATCTGGGGGCAAACTTCATGCTAGGGACCTTAAGCTTGATGTTGCGAGATGACAACCAAACCCGGTCCCCCACTTGGTACACCGGGTTGGCACTCCTACGCTTATCAGCAAAATGTTTGAAGCGTTCAGCAGCAGCCCCTAGAGCAGTTTGAACCTTAACCCAGGTATCCCAAATGGAGGCCAGACGCTCATCCAGAGCAGGAATGGCAGTATCAGAAAATACCACAGGGAGAACCGTAGGATGCCTACCATTATTGACAAAAAATGGACTGTGCCCAGAGGAGTCATGAACAGCATTGTTTCTAGCGAACTCGGCCCACGGGAGTAGTTCGGACCAATTGTCTTGTGTGCTATTAATAAAACAACGCAAATAAACTTCTAATGACTGGTTAGCCCTCTCAGCTGTACCATTGGTCTGTGGATGGTAGGAGGAGGAGAAGGAGAGATCAATCCCCAATTGTTTACTGAACGCCCTCCAGAACCTGGACACAAACTGAGAGCCCCTATCAGACACAATATTGTGGGGGATGCCATGCAAACGGACAATTTCACGTATGAAAATTAGGACCAAATCTTGCGAAGATGGCAACTTCTTGAGAGGAATGAAGTGAGCCATCTTAGAAAATCGGTCTACAACCATGAGAATAGTAGTGAACCCAGCAGAGCTAGGAAGCTCAACAATAAAGTCCATGGATAGGTGGGACCATGGAATCTCAGGAACAGGAAGAGGCTGCAACAGGCCACAAGGAAGTGCATGAGTCACCTTAGAAACTGCACACACAGAACATGCCTGCACATACTCCTTTACATCTTTCCTGAGTGAATCCCACCAAAATGATCTAGTGATCGCGGCAGTGGACTTATTGATGCCCGGGTGTCCAGCAGTTATATTGTCATGGAACACTTTCATGATATTAACCCTTTCACATAGGGGAACGAACAGTTTATCACATGGTTTACCACTGGGCGCCTGAGGCTGGGCCTCCAGTATGGTGCCAAGCAGTGGAGAAGACAGTGAGAGGACAGTAGTAGCAATAATACACTCTGCTGGAATAATAGGAGATGTCATCTGTTTCCTGGAGCTGACTCATTATCAAATTGCCTGGACAAGGCATCAGCCTTGGTATTTTTAGAACCAGGTCTATAAGTAATGAGAAAGTTAAAACGTGAAAGGAACAGTGACCATCTAGCCTGTCTGGAAGACAAACGTTTGGCATCCCCTATATATGCCAGATTTTTGTGGTCGGTTATGATCAACAGGGGGTCCTTGATGTCGCCACTCCTTGAGGGCAAGAATAATGGCCAACAGTTCTCTATTGCCAATATCATAGTTGCGCTCAGCAGGAGACATCTTTCTGGAGAAGTAGCCACAAGGATGCAATGGTGTTCCCTGGCTTTCTCTATGAGAGAGAACAGCCCCTGCCCCTGTCTCGGATGCATCAACCTCCAATATAAAAGGTTTACTAGTGTCGGGATGTTTTAGTATATCCGCAGAGGCAAATCTTTGTTTAAGAGTCTCAAAAGCATTCACAGCCTCTTTGGACCATACCCTGCTACTAACCCCTTTGCGAGTCATATTTGTGATTGGGGCTATTACAGAAGAAAATCCCTTGATGAATCTTCTGTAATAGTTGGCAAAACCAATAAACCTTTGAATGGCTTTTAAACCAGAGGGTAATGGCCAGTGTAGTACAGCCTCTAGTTTTTTAGGATCCATTTGAAATCCCGATGCAGAGATGTTGTAACCCAAAAAGTGGACTTCAGGCTGGTCAAATATGCACTTTTCTAATTTGCAATAAAGTTTATTTTTCAACAACGTCTGCAGAACCTGTTTCACATGGGAGTGGTGAGTCTGAAGATCAGGGGAATACACCAAAATATCGTCCAAATAAAGACAAATGAGTAAATGAATTCCCTGAGTACTTCATTTATAAAGTCTTGGAATACGGCCGGGGCGTTGCATAACCCAAATGACATTACCAGATATTCATAGTGTCCACTACGGGTATTAAATGCCATCTTCCACTCATGATTCTCTTTAATTCTAACCAAATTGTAAGCGCTCCTAAGGTCAAGCTTAGTAAATACTTTAGCTCCCTGAAGTCTATCGAACAATTCGGAAATGAGTGGGATAGGGTATGCATTTTTACAGTGATTTTATTAAGTGCCCTGTAGTCTATGCAAGGGCGTAACTCACCACCCTTTTTCTCAACAAAAAAGAATCCTGCACCAGCTGGTGAGGATGACTTTCTTATGTGCCCTTTGCTCAAGGATTCTTTGATGTATTCCTCCATTATTTTACTCTCCTGCGGAGATAAGGCATAAACTGCCCCCTTAGGTGGCATAGCGCCTGGAAACAGGTTAATGGCACAGTCATATGCTCTGTGGGGAGGCAATACATCGGATTGAGCCTTGTTAAACACCTCCTGAAGTTCTCGGTATTGTATGGGAACTCCAGGAGTTTGGGGAGTGGTAGTGGGAAGGTCAATAGTATCCAATCTCTTTAGTACTGGTTTTATACATCTCCCCATACACTCTTTACCCCATTCTAATATCTCCCCATTAGCCCAGTCAATATAGGGATTGTGCTTACTCAGCCACGGAAACCCTAATATGATAGGACATGATGGAGAAGTAATAACCTGAAACGTAATCTCCTCCCTATGGGAGGCCCCAATGGAGATCGTAATAGGGACAGTTTCGTGGGTTATAAGCAGTTGTGTGAGTGGTCTACCATCAATAGCCTCTACAGCTAGCGGCGTAGGTCTCTCCCTGACCGGTATCTCATTACCCCTAATAAACTGGACATCAATAAAATTTCCAGCAGCACCTGAGTCCATTAGGGCACTGCAAGAAAACTTCTTGTTATCAAGGGAAATAGATACCTCAAGGAGGAATCTACTTTTGTTTTTGTTAGAGGACAACTCCATCACACCTAAGATCTGTCCCCTTAAGGTTCTTAGGTGCGGAAGTTTTCCGGACGCACTGGACAATTAGTTATTATATGTCCCTTTCTACCGCAATATAGGCATAACC